AAGAGTTGCGACTTTCAAAAATCCAAATTATTACCCTTTAAATAGGTCTTCTTCTTTTTTTCTTTCTCAAACATGTATTTCGCACCGAAGCACATATTTAGTTTGGCAAGACTTGTGTACCATGATAGCCCCAAACGTAACACTGGAAAAAAAAATAGCCTTTCTTTTATAACAAAAAACTCAGCCCTTTGTTACCCTGATTTCTATTAATGTTATATAGAATCGCAGATTTTTCGGGTGCAACTAAATCTTATATCTATAGTCCTTCTCTATTGCAGGTTACATGAGGTGTTAAGTGAAGAGTTCTTAATTATTGAGTTTTTTTTTCTTTAACTCAAAATTGAGGTTGGTATTTGATCTGAAATGAAATACAAAACCCACATTGAAAGTCTTCACCACGAAGAAAACCCACTTGAGAAGCCTTCCATGTGAAGAAAGGTATCTCAAGTTGATATCTTAGTCAACAAAAGTTGCTCTGCATCTCAGCCACGATTACCTCTGCAAAGCTTATCTCAGCCACCTATAAAAGAATTAATTGAAAAGTTTGCTGCCTCACCACTTGCAAGCAACTTGGAGAGACATCTCTCAAAATCGATCATCTCTCCACTATAAATATGAATGTGTTAACCACAGACACACATATTCTTCTACATAAACCTGCTTACACAAAATTTAACTTGAGCGTCAAAGTGTCTTGTAGTACATCCTTCATCTTTTTCCAGTGAAGACCATGAGTTAAAGTTGCATCAAATTTTTTTTGTAGAGAAAAATTACATGGTCAACCCTGATAAAAATAATTATGACCAGTACCTATAATTTTATGGAAAATGCTTTTCTCTTTTTACATAAGAGAAAAATTGTCTCCTACTGAAACAAAAAAGTGAGCCAGCAATTAGAAAATAAGATAAAATAAAAAAACAAAAACTTAGCACAAAATTCGATCTATGTGTAAAAATCAAATTTTCTCTTTTTGTATAAGGAGAAAAACATTTCCCTAACTTTATATTTATTATCTAAATTTCTCATCACTAAATCACTCTTAATGACTTGTGGAGGGCCTTTTATTCTTAAGATTGGTGGACAAATTAATCTTTCAATCTCCATATATGCATATTAACTTAGTAGAAAGTATCATTTCTCTGCAAACAAATGCTTGGCGATTAAGTCACAATTCATAAGCTTCATTGGATCCATTAGTTACAGGAGAAAATGCAGCTATCATTTTTTTTCCTCTTGCACCTGATAAATTCCTTTTTAATATGGACTAGTTGGTGATGTTGATGCAATAGTACAATTTCTTAGCCCATGACAGCGCTAATATTCCCAAGTGACATGGTCATAGTAGTATATAAAAAAGAGTACAATATGTATTGGTTTCTGACTTGCTGTAAATGGAAATTTGAACTGAAAAGCAAAGTTTACATGGTTTGTGTTGGCATGCACAATGCATTAACAGTTGGTGGTACAGGCTTTTCATAAGAATAGTTCATCATGATTCGGGACCCATGATTCACATTTCCAACTAATTTTTGCTTTACCGTTCTTTAGCCCTACAAAGCAGTCTTATTTCACACACACACATACAGGGCAGGTTATTCATTTATATCCAATCACTCACATAATTGAAAAATTAAAACTGTTACATTTAAGTGGAATTAATAAACAAGATTAAAAATATAATTTACATTAATATAAAATGATAGCTGTGTCATCTTATTAAATGTCTCCCAACTCCCATAATAGTTTGGAATGGTATTCTGTGATTTGCTGCCCTAATTTAAAAAAAAAAAGCATTGTCTCGTTGGAAAATGTGAAAATGGTGGACCCAATCTGCGGCAATCAACCATGCATATTGGGGCGACAAGAATGGTATGGTTCATCCGTTTCTTCTTTAGCTTTACTCTAATTAATGTAAAATGGCATCTTGTTTCCTTGGTGGAGAAGTTTATTGGCTTACAAACTTTTCAATTCGAAATTTAATATTTGAACAGGGGAAAAATTATAATCAGAATATATTTTTTGAGGTGTCAAATCAAAATAATTGATAATTTGGTGGAAAAGCTAAACTAATTTTTTATGAAATTAATATGATTTCAATAAAAAGCCTTAAAAATTGAATAAAGCTTAAAACAAAAATACAGTTTCAATCGGCGCTCGAAGGTAGTTTGGTTTTAGTTCCCCACTAGGGCGAAAGAGTTATTATTATTAGTATTATTATTATTATTGGAGAGGTTATAGGTACAATTTTTTTTTTACAACCTCTTACAATCATATATCATAACCGTTGATTTTCGCCAATCAACAATTATGATTTTCATAAATTAAACTCATTAATTAATTATTAATTCATAATAAATGACAACCGTTGATCGGAGAAAATCAACGGTTATGATATATAATTGTAAGACGTTGTAAAAAAAAAATTGTAACTATAACCTTCCTCTATTATTATTATTATTATTTTGGTTCGAATTTGATCAAATAGAAGTCTTTTTTTAAAATGATAAAAACAACACAACTGGATACACTTGTACAAAAATGGAAGTTTCTTAGGTTAAAATTGGTATAGTAAACTATTTTTAAAAATGATAATAGAAATAAACTTTTTTATTAGTGAATTAGCTATGGTAAAAATACATTTTATTTATACAATTTACACGGCAAAACCAAAATTATATATGTATAATATATGAAATTAATAATAGAATAGTGATCAATTCAACATTAGTTTTCTTCTCACTTCTTGAAATTTTAATTTGTTGTGGACTGGTCTCATGGGCCAACCCTAAGAAACCTAGAACTTTATTTCTCATAGTGAGATTTTTATACTATTATAATAGAGGATCTCTTACTTTTGCGTAGTTCATCTTATATTATACATGAAATGTTATATTTATAAATTTTTTATTTACAAACTATATTAAGTATGATCGATCATACTTCAACCAAGAGTGTATGACCAATCATACCTAGTGTAATTTGTAAAAAAATTTATAAACGAATCATTTCTCATATTATATATATATATATATATATATATATATATATATATATATGGAGATGCGTTTGCCTCGTACATTATAACGAGACCCATTGGGCAAACCGATTATAACTCTATGATAAACAAATTCCACCTTTATACACCATCTTCAATCATTGAAGGGGTATATTGCATTATACATTTAATGAGATGTTATTTTGTTAAAATTTAGAGCTATTGTACCCTTTTATCACCACTTTTAGAGCTTTGGTTTATACTATTGCATCTAAGAACACTATTATATTGATATACTTCACTCTATCAAGAAAAACAAACCTAAGCTCCTCACAAATAATTCAAGATCAACATGACTGTAAAGTTTGTAGTTCAATTCATAAACAAAACAACTTATACTAATGATAAAAACCTATCATGCTTTATGCCAATAAAAGGATAATTTCCTCCAAATAAGTGAGGATACTATGGGAATAAAAAAAAATCATATAATAATAAATGATAAGTGTTTTTTTTTCTGCAGTTACCGCAGATAACTTATCTGCAGTAAGCCAATACGACGTCGTTTTGGGATGGAAATCATGGTATTTTTGTAATTTTAATTTATTTCAGGGTTATAATAGTTTTTATATTCATAATTTTTTAAGATTTCAATACCAAAACGACATCGTTTTGGGAATAAATGCAGATAACTTATCTGCATTAAATGTAGAAACATTTTTCCCAAATGATAATATCAGAATATAAATATACATAAAATGTGTGAGATTATACAAATTATGTTTTTTAATATATTTATGTGATTAACATTCCTCATGTTTTAGGAAATAATTTTATCTCTTACACACATATAAAAGTATATGAGATCTATATTTCATTTTCTCTATTTTCTTTATATGACATATGGGTTCTATATATTTTTATGTATATATAGAAGATAAAATTATCTCCTATAAAATAAAATTACTTCTTATTAAAATAATAAGCACTAACAAGTTACACTAACATTTTTATGAAAAAAGAAAAGAAAAGAAAGGTAGGCTCGTAAAAGGCAACTTTAACTTAGGGAAGTTATGATGAGAGGGCTGAATCCGAAACATAACAAAAAGAGGGACCCACCCACTCTTATTGGCTATTGCCTATCGGAAGGAAGGAACAATTGGCTGCGCATAGCAGTGAGTCTGCGTCAAATCATACTTCTCTTTCAGTATCGCCACAGCACACTACACCACACCACGTCTAATGCCTTTCCCTTCTTCTCTCTCTCGCTCCTCAAACCTCAAATACAAATGCTTCAACTCAACTCAACTTTATCTATTATTATATTTCGAATAAAATTATTTCATATATACATAAAAATTTAATAAAAGTTATATATATATATATATATATTTTATATATGTATAAAAAATAAAATTATTTTTTATATTAAATTTATAATAATATTAATAAAATAGAAATAGAAAATAAAAATTGTGGCAGAAGAAAGCAATACACGGTAAGTTGGAACTCCAAAACCCAATGCAATATTTGTGATGGACGTTTGATTCTCGCGCCTGCTCCACGTTGAGAGGGTCATGTTCATGTGCTAGTAATGTTGTGTTTACCGGTCTTGTAGTACCCCATCCATCCATCACAGTACAAACCAAACCAAACCACCCTCCATTCCACCCACGCTTCTTTCCCTTTCTCTCTCACTTTTCTTCTCTCTCTTGGCTTTTACAATTTACAACTCTGAATTGTTATCACAGTTTTAGGCTTTTTAGCAGAGCATATTTGTTGACGTGCTTCTCTTTGTAAAATATGTTCAAACCCATCGTTCCATGATTATGGCTCTCAACTCGGTTGTTCTTGTTCTCCTCTTATTCTTCCTCTCACGTGATACTCTCTGTTCGGCTTCCGAGCCTCGCAACCCCGAAGGTATGCGTGAGCTGGTTCGTAGGTTCTTTAAGGTTTTCGTGAGTTTATATATAATATATATAACATGATGTAAAATGAATTGCAGTGGAGGCTTTGATGAGCATAAAGGAAAGTCTGAATGATCCGCACGGTGTGTTGAACAACTGGGATGAATACTCGGTCGATGCTTGTAGTTGGGCCATGATTACTTGCTCTTCTGATTACCTTGTTATTGGCCTGTTAGTTTTTCTTTCTTCCATGCCATGTTCTTTTTTCTTGCATGTCCTTTCTCAAAGCCTCATCACTCCATTTGCTTTTTGCTATGTGCAGGGGAGCGCCCAGCCAATCTCTCTCCGGAACTTTGTCTGCTGCAATTGGAAATCTTACCAATCTTCAACAAGTGTGAGAACCTTGACATCTTTGCAATCTCGTTTCTACTCTTTAATGTTTACCCGTTTCTGGTTTTTTTTTTTGGTTGGTTTTGTTTTTTAGAATTGTGAGTTTCAAGGTTGTACTTGTCGTTTTGTTCATCGTCATTCTCAAATGTATTTGGTCTCAATCGCTTTTGGTTTTTTGTTGTTGTCTGTGGCATAGGGACTCTTTCCGAGTCTCTATCAGCCCTGAGAAAGTTCAGCACAATTCTCATTACAAACGAATTGTTTGAACTTTTTATTTTTTATGTGGCATGGAATATTCTAATTTTGATTTATTGGTTGAATGCAGGTTACTACAAAACAACAATATCTCAGGCAAAATTCCGTCGGAACTTGGAACCCTTCCCAAGCTTCTGACTTTAGATCTTTCCAATAATCGATTCTCTGGGGTGATTCCTTCTTCTCTGAGTCAATTGAGGAGTCTCCAATACCTGTGAGTAACTATGGTTTCCTTGTTTTTTTTCTTCCTTCGTTAAGAAAGTGCGGGAAATTATTTTAAGCAACAGTGAGCTACTATCTGCAGTTTAGTTGTTGACTTGGTTTACTCTTCGTTATTCAGGTGTAAATTTATATTATATTTTGAGATGGCGCAGCTATTTTTTTTTTTTTTTTTGGCTTCAAAATCAAATCTTCTTATATTAAATATTTAATACACTCGTTTCTATGTCCATAATGAGAGCAGGAGGCTCAACAACAATAGCTTGTCTGGACCCTTTCCCGTGTCACTGGCCAAAATTCCACAGCTTACTTTCTTGTGAGTATGGTTATATATCAGTTCCCCCTTCTCACACGTCTAAGTACCTTGAAAATCGCAAGAACCTGCCACTTGTTGAATACTTACCATATGTCATCATTTTTTGCTGAAACTTTGATATGCTAACTCTATGCATTCAGGGACTTGTCTTATAACAATCTCAGTGGACCATTGCCCAAGTTTCCAGCCAGGTCATTCAAGTATGGTGTCTCTTTGATTCTCTCTCTCTCTCTCTTTGTGGACAAGATAGTGTTCTATTATTTTAAAGTTTACTCTCTGTTTCAACTGTGCTTTTGCCTTGATTCACTTTTACTTTGTAGTATTGTGGGGAACCCAATAGTTTGTGGAAGTAGCTCCACTGAAGGTTGCTCTGGATCAGCAACCCTCATGCCCGCTTCTTTCTCTCAAGCATCATCGCAAGGTATGTCCTTTTACCTCTTCCACCCTGGTTCCTCATCTTTTCTTTATACAACCTAACCTTTGTTACATTTATATTTATAGGAAAGCATAATTCCAAAAAACTAGCAATTGCACTTGGGATCAGCCTGAGTTGTGCTTCTGTCATGGTTCTGTTTTTTGGACTCATTTGGTATAGAAAGAAACGACAGCAAGGTGCCATCCTGTATATCAGTGGTAGGTAGAGCTGGGACAACGGTTCTTAGATTATATGTTACAGGATTGGTATTATTAGAGTATTAGTATTTGCGATTTTGGCTTTGTTGCAGATTGTAAGGAAGAGGGAATTGTTAGCTTGGGAAATCTAAAAAATTTCACTTTTAGAGAGCTGCAACATGCAACATATAATTTCAACCCCAAGAACATACTTGGTGCTGGAGGCTTTGGCAATGTTTACAGGGGGAAGCTCGGAGATGGCACAATGGTGGCAGTGAAAAGGCTGAAAGATGTGACTGGTAGTGCTGGCGAATCACAGTTCCAAACAGAATTGGAGATGATCAGCTTGGCAGTTCACCGCAATTTACTTCGCTTATTTGGATATTGTGCTACTCCTAATGAAAAACTTCTCGTTTATCCTTATATGTCTAATGGCAGTGTGGCCTCCAGGCTTAGAGGTAGGTATTGCTCTCCATGGTAGTGGGTCTTTCTCATAAAGCATGTGATCATATATTTTAAGTGCAGTGTTATCTACCTTGTTGTATTGCACTTGGACCTGTTTTAATCTTTGATCTGCAGTAGTCATGTTTTGGTTTTCATATTGTTTTTTTCTTTCTTTTTCTTTTGTTTATGAAAATTAGGTTGGGATGTCTGGTATACTTTTTAATGTTAAACGTGGTCATGCTCACAATTTGTCATTAGATATGTTAATTTTTTTTTTCAAATGATAAGCTAGAAATGGTCTGAATCCCTTGATAATTAGGGGTACACCCGCAATCAATAGTTGATATCCTCCTGATCATCACTTGATTAATTATAAACTCTGATTGGATTAATTCTTATCAGGTTTTGAAAGTGTTTATCATAGGCATTGAATTGCTATTAAGTTAATGTCATGATTTGATATTATTTTCTTTGTGGGTACTGGCAATAGAAGCTATAGAGCAATGGATTTTTTTCTCTTTTTACACAATATAAAGAGTAAAAAGTGTTGAAAGTTATTTCTTAACAAGTTCTGCCAACAGCTTGTTGTTTACCTTCAATATACTGTTTATTATTGGGCATAAATTAGCTATTGAATCTCAATAGCTTTCCTTTCCTCGTGGTTTAATATCATGTATGTGATATGCATGATAGGCAAACCAGCTTTAGATTGGAACACAAGAAAGAGGATAGCAATTGGAGCTGCCAGAGGCCTTCTGTATCTGCATGAGCAATGTGATCCAAAGATAATTCACAGAGATGTAAAAGCCGCTAATGTGCTTCTGGATGACTATTGTGAGGCTGTTGTTGGTGATTTTGGCCTTGCAAAGCTCCTTGACCATGCTGATTCCCATGTCACCACTGCTGTCCGTGGCACTGTTGGGCACATTGCACCAGAGTATCTCTCCACTGGCCAATCATCTGAGAAAACTGATGTATTTGGATTTGGCATTCTGTTGTTAGAGCTCATAACTGGAATGACAGCTCTTGAGTTTGGGAAAACGGTGAATCAAAAAGGTGCTATGCTAGAATGGGTAAGTCTACTCTTTGAAACCAAAACAAACTGTTAATTGCATTCCATTTTTGACTATTTGACACGATATTTGGTAGTTAGTCTAATATCTTAGTTTATTCAATATTATTGGTCTCTAACTCTTCATTAGGAGTTCCTCATGCGTGAATATTCTTTGAACATTATTTTGTAATATTTGTTCTGATTTGCACTGGGATACAACTTCTACCAAAATATCTTTCTTAATATTATTATAAATTTTATATTTGATACTAATGTATTGAAAACTAGTGTTGAAAAGGGGAAAAGGAATATCAGAACTCAATGTTGTTCAACATTTGTTTTCTGATATGACATTAATTTGACAAATGTTTGTCTTACTATCGATTTTCTACATGTCTGACAAATGCTTTGTAATCGACCTGGCTGTTATAATATAACTCGTTGCTCTTAATTACCCAATAACTGTGTAAAACATTGTTTCCTGGCACTGTTACTGGTCCGGAGATATTTGTAACTGCTGAGCAATATGCGGAAACATTGTAGTTTATTTTCTGCATCAAGAGTTTTTATTGTCTGCCCTCAAGTATGATGTACACGTCTAATGGATGACTTCTGTGCAAGTTACTTAACTATAGGCACATTTTTGCATGTGCCACAGTTCATGTACTTGTTTACAGTAGGGACATTTACTATTGAAGAATCATGGAAAACTTTAATTCTTAAATATGTAAGATGATATTACTATATTAGTAGGATATACTGTCAACAAAATTGATATTGTGAGAGCTGTGTAGTTGTTGACACAAGACAGGTGAACTGTCCGCTGGTACATATCCTTGTGATAGATATCTTAATCTTGGCTTAAAAGAATTGTTCAGATTAACTAGAGATCAATATTCACTCCTATGCTGTGACAGGTTAGGAAAATACAGCATGAAAAGAAGGTTGCAGTATTGGTGGACAAAGAGCTAGGGAGCAACTATGATAGAATAGAGGTAGGAGAGATGCTGCAAGTAGCTTTACTTTGTACTCAATATTTGACAGCCCACCGCCCCAAAATGTCTGAAGTGGTCCGAATGCTTGAAGGTGATGGTCTTGCTGAGAAGTGGGCAGCGTCACATAATCATGGTAGTCATGGCATGAACCCCAGTCACAGCAACAGTAGCAACAGTTTATCCCGCGCTACCTCTGCTTCTAAACATGATGACAATATTCATGATCGTTTCAGCATGTTTGGCATGACAATGGATGATGATGACGAACAGTCATTGGATTCCTATGCCATGGAACTCTCTGGTCCTAGATAAACAGAAAATGGGAGAAAAAATAGGAAGATAGAAAAGGAGGAGTTCATTTGGTCAAATATCTTTAAATGATTTTACTTACTTTAGTTATTCTAGGATATAATCATTGTATGTATTCTATAAAATTTTGTCATTTTGTGTTTGTGTCGTAAATATTAGCATAATACTAGTACAGTTGTACTTATGTTACTGTGTATTTGGATGCAATATATAATGGTTGAAGGCAGTAGGAGGCTGCGCAATGCGCACAGTAAACTTTGTATAGGGTGGATGGAGAACATCATCAGATTCTTTGCTCTCAAGTGTGAAGCAGATGGAAGAGGGTGCCTTCCGCAGAATGATTTTGACGGTTTTGACTGAAGATGAAGATAGGCATGAATTTTGTTGTGACCTTTGTATTCTTGGTTGTTGTCCTGTTGATGTTCAAACTTGAAAGTATGTGTGAAGGTCACACAGTCTGAGCTTTCAGCTGTTAGAGGTCATTTTCAATCTGATGCTTTGCAGGTCACGCGCTACACTTTTTCTCAATTTGGTGTCTTTTCCTTTGTTCTTTTACCTTTCTGTCTTGTTTCGTATCTTTATCCTTCAGTCGCATGGTCTTGTATTTTACTTTTTTTTTCTTCTTTTTTTAATGGTTGATTTCCTTTGACTCACAGTGCCAATTTCAAGACATTATTGTCTGGCCCACTTTTCTTTACAACATGGTCTGTAATCTTTAAAATGAGTTAATTGATTTTAATTTGTAATTAACACAAAATACTCCGCCTAAAGAAAAATGTTTGAAATCACATTATTTTATGTCAAAATGATTTCTGCAGCTGCTGTACCTACCGCAAGTAAGGATCCGCGTCTGGATCTTAGGATACGGCAATGGATCCTGAGTTTTTTTTTTAAAAAAAACCGTGAGATCCACTTTTCTGTGTCAGCTGTAGATAACACTATTTACGGCTGCTACAGAAATGTTAAGCCCTTGTTTTATTAATTTATTTGTAAGTTTGTCATATTTTACTATACATATATTCCGAATTTTGAATAGATAATAGCTTCATCATAAGCCCTTTTGTCCCCTCATACCCTAACTAGATAAGGGTACATGAACATGACTACATGAGAAACTTAACATTTCATTACATTAGGGGAAAATGAGTTATCAATTGAGGAATTGAATAATAACATAAAGAAAGTTGGGACAGCAGTGATAAATTATCCTTTTTTGGAAGTCATTTCAGTTTAGATCTTACAGAATATTACCTTGAGGACTTCTTAGTTGCATTATTACTTTGAGGGAGTTATTTTCAAAATAACAATACTGCTTCCAGGAATATTCTAGGAAAATAAAATTGAGGAACCGAATAGTAACACAGCGAGTCATGGTGCATTCATGCACACTTGCACAGTCCTAAGCAAACTTTGAGCGCAAATGGCAAAGGTAGTGTCAGTGATCAGCCTCCGGGCATTTGCATTCTGTTATTAATCATTATTTTCTCTCATCAATTGTTGGAGCCAGAAAATTTTATGAGTGATAAAATTATAATGTGTATTCTTATGTGAGGTCACAAGTATCTATATGACTAATAAAAAGAAAATAATATTCATAATTAAAATTTTATATAAATTTTGAAGGGGGAAATAATTAATTATTTGACTAATAAAAAATTTGAAGGGAGAGCGCCCTCGATTCACCACTGGACTTCATAATAAATAGAGTTTAATTTTGACGTGTAAACAATATTTTATATTATTATTCAAAGATTCTTTGTCACGTGTTTAACGAATTTAACAAATATCAAAATTAAATTAATATACGTATATTACGGAATTTTCTTCGGTAAATCGACATCTTTTTTCCAAATAAAGTAAGTTTTCTTCTCATTTAAATCTAGACTTTCATTTTTATTCCTTCCCTATCTTAACTTTTTTGCTTTTTTGGGACCGATGCATGGTGCATCGGTAGCACCAAATGTTTGCTCGGATATTACAAGAATAATAATTTTGGTTTCTTTCATGTACATTTTATATAAGAAAATTTCCACTACAATCCGTTTTTTTTTCAAAATTTTAGTTTTTAAAATTATTTTATTTTATCTCTTCATTTAGTTTTTTAAACTTTTCTGTTTTACTTGTTTATACATTTTCTTAATATTTATATTTCTAACTTTTTTATTTTCCCACAGATTTTTTTAAAACAAATAACAATTAAAAGTACATTAATTTTTAAACAATTAGAAAAAATGTGTATTTTATTATGTGTAGTAATCTTGAATGGAAAAAAGGAAAAATAAATTAATAAAATATTCGTTAAGTATTATTTTTTTTTAAATTTTATTCTTGTTGGTTTTATAGACAAAATATCTGAATAATTTTTATTTATTTATTTTCGTATGCTTTATTATTAACATATTTAAATTTTATTTATACTATTAATATTACCTTAAAAATTAATACATATATAGATCCACTAAAAATTTATATATTAAAAAATTTCTGTTTTTAAGTATTATTACAAGAAACACAAAATTAAGTTAAACTTTATTTTGTATTGGTTCGTTTTAATCAAAGTATTTCTTTTAAATATCTTAGAATAAGAAAAACCAAGATTTTTGAAACCCAAAACCATACAAACAGCAACAAAAGCAAAAACAAATAAACCAGTGAATAAGAAAAGTAAATTCATAAATAAATTAAAATAACAAGATAGATTAGGGAATTGACAAACATGATAGATTAGGACACTGACGAACTGTAACAGAATGTGATCAAAAAATTTCTACCTACCAGTGATAGAGCACGGCCGCACCAGAAAATGGTGGAGGGAGCAGTGAACGCCCAACAAGAAAGAGGGGAAGGGCTACCGACGATGAAGGAGAACAACCCACGAACGCAAAGGAGAAGAACTATGAGGGAAAACAATTATGGGAAAGAGCAACTACCGACGAAGGAGAAGAACGCTCTCAAGACGGAAAGAACACAGGTAGCAAAAGAGAAGAAGCTCTCTGCTCGACGAGTTTGGGAATAGGAATGCTGTTGAAGACGTTCATTCTTATAAAACAGTATTTTTTTTTAATTTTTAGACCAAAACGTCGTTGTTTTGAGTGGGATAAAAGAAGTTCGCTTTCAAAATTAATGTAGAAAATGGAAATATTATATTTCTTTCCATCTTTGTATGATTATGATTACCCATATTTAATGTTTTATATTTATTTCCGACTTTGTATGGTTATGATTCTCAATATTTAATGCTTTCACACTATAAAACGACGTAGTTTTGTATGACTGCATCAATCCTTAGGTAGAGTCACTTTACATCCGCTAAACTATATATATATATATATATATATATATATATATATATATATATATATATATATATATATATATATATATATATATATAGAGGCAGGATATTCTTACACCGGTGTAAGAGTTAGAAGTCTTACATTCAATCTTGAGCATTGATCCACTTGTATCTAATGGCTCAAATTACTAAAAAATTAGAGCCCTTAAATATAAGTGGGATCAACGATCAAGATTGAGAGTGTAACTTACACTGGTGTAAAATGATCATAACCCATATATATATATGATAAAATCATTTATGCAGCCGTTTTACGAACAGCAACGACAGGTGTATGGTTATGATTCTCCACATTTAATGCTTTCATTCTTTATATGGTTATAGTTCTCCGCATTTAATACCTTCAAATATATATATGGCAAGTATTTGATTGCTGCACGTACAACAGCTACAGAAACCACACACACACAGATATATATATATATATATATATATATATATAGGGGAAGGATATTGTGACAACCAAGTTGTGTTACTACCAAGTGACTACCAATCAATCTCACCGTTAGATCGATTATATTGATTCAACGGTTATATTATTTCCATCTTTGTATGGTTATGATTTCCCATATTCAAAGTGAAAGTATTAAATATGGAAAATCATAACTATACAAATGTGAAAATAAATATAAAGTATTAAATTTGGGAAACCATGACCATACAAAGATGGAAATAAATATAACCGTTGGATCAACATAATCGATCTAACGGTGAGATTAATTGGTAGTAACACAATTTGGTTGTCACAATATCCTTCCCCATATATATATATATATATATATATATATATATATATATATATATATAAAGCCAAATTATAGATTTTTTTTTTAACTTTTTAAAATAAATAAATAAAAAACAAAAAAATTCCACTTGATGTGGGTGGGATAAGATTAGGGTGGCAATATGGGTTGAGCCCGGCGGGTCAACCGGCCAAAACGGGGCGGGTTGGGTTGAGATTTTCAACCCACCAACCCACCTCAACCCGCCCCGCCTAGAAGTGGGTCAAAACGGGTTCAACCCGCCGCGGGGCGGGTTGACCAGTCGGATTTTAATTTTTTTTTTTTTTTTTACAATTAGGTAGTATTTCAGTAGTACTTAAATTTTTGTGATATTCAATTTTTTTTTATCTTAGTACTTTCTAGAAAAAATAAAGAATAACAATTTTATTTATGACAAATGTTATCTATTTATAAATTCCTAAAGAATGTTTGACAAATATTAGTATACATTTAAGATTTAGACTAAAAAAAATATAGAGAAGTGTGAAATAAAATAAAATAATATTAAAAAAATTCATAAAATATAATTAATTTTTGAATTTTAATTAATTTTTTTTAATTGGCGAGTTGATGGGTTGACCCGTCAACCCGCCATAAAACAGAATGGGTTCATTTTTACAACCAATATTTCTTGCTAATCAACCTGCCCCGTTTTTGACGGGTTGGTGTCAGGAGGGCGGGTCAACCCAAATTGCGACCCCTGTATAAGATATCGATAGCGTTAGCGTCTTAATTCCAAGGTGATTGCCCCCTTATCATGTAGACTTCCTTCCAGAGTTACGGAACCTCATGAAACTAACTAGTCAAGCGGAGGAGCAACCTCAATTATTATGGCCAACAACTCATCTTCGTCCCCTATCCTTTGCGCTTCTTTCAACCAGGACCATAGGTCAATTCATTTTCACGCATGCATTTCTTTCCCTATCTTTCAATTCTTTTATTTAACCATTCACCTTAATTGTTTTCATGTCAAATTCTAAATCAAATTCACTGATATTCCTTTTTTTTTTCTTCCCGTTATTGCAGTTGCTTCGCCGTTGGCACCAGGGATGGTTTCAGAATATTCGATACCAATACAGGAAGGCTCTGCTACGAAAGAGGTAAATTCAATTCCATCATCATCATTATAATCATCATTTTTTATTTATTTATAATTACTTTTTCGTGTAGCTGTTGGAGCTTTCGTTATTGTTGAGATGCTGTTTACCTCAAGTCTTCTTGCTATCGTTGGGGCTGGTGATCAGGTACTACGCAAGTTTTCTACTTTGTGTGACTGTGACTTGGCATTGGGGTTTCTCTCTGATTGTGTATTGTTTTTATTTATTGATACAGCCTTCTTTGTCTCCTCGTCGTCTCTGTTTATTCAATACAACTACTGGAGCTGCTCTTAGAGAATTGAACTTTCTAACTTCAATACTTGCCGTTCGCATGAATAGAGAAAGGTCAAAGCAGGATCCGGAGTTTTTTTTTTTTTTTTTTTTCTGTATGAACTCGTTATTTACTCGGTTTAGGCTATGTTAAACAACATCGGACAATGTTGTTTTTTTAACATTGTAGTATGACGTGGGCATCAAATGGTCATGAAACATATGTGAAGCTTGGTTTGGGGTGGTTTTTCAATGACTATTGATTGCTTGAACTCTGATTATTTATGAATATATTGATTAGGGCATCATGCTGTTTTCCCAATACTTAGTATTACACTGCCAAATGCTTCTTTTTGCGTATTTTTGTAATTATGTATTTCACCGTAGTAGCTGTGTACAAACTAATGGTTATTTTTTTTTCCTCAATATGAATTGAGGGGGCTACTTTGTGAGGTTACTCTTTGCTTTGGAATTTCTTCTATTAGAAAAAAATATATGAAGTAGGAAGGACTAAGGAGAAAATTTGAGACTTGTCGATGGGTTTTTTCTAGTTCAAAGATGTTTTTGTAGATCATTCAGGTGACCCAAGAATGTTTTACTAAATTTATTTTCCCTCTTGTGTGTTTGTATGTGTTTACAGTGTAGCAGACTCATATGGTCGGATTATTTTACATATTATATTGGACAAGTGGACTTGTAAAATACATGCTAGTCTACAATTTTTTGATTTAGCCAAGTTTCCTATAAATTTTTAGTCTCCTTATTTACAATTTTTCTCAGTTTAGAATCTAGTTCAATGACTCAATTAGCATAATTCTTTGACCATTAAGAATAATCCCATCTATCTCTGTTTCTCTCTAATGCAGGCTCATTGTCATTTTACAAGACAAAGCATATATATATGAATTAAATAGTCTCACAATCTTGGACACTATTGACACAGTGCCAAATATTAAAGGTGAGACTGGAATGAATATGTGATAAGATTTCATTCAATCAGGTGATTTTGTGATAATCATTGTTTTTCCTCGTAGTACTTGATGTGATTTCATAAATTTATGATTCTTAAATGTATAACCCCACCCCTCTCCAAATGATATACCAGCACCTATCATTTTGATTTTTGGATTAGTACATCTCTCTCTTTTTCTCTCTTGGAGATAATAACCTAATATTTCTATCTGGTTTCTTCAATTAAATTTATGTTTAGCATTTCCTGGGGTAAAATATGAAAGCATGGACATTTTTTCACGATCCACATTATATATTCCTATGTTGGAAACACAATGCTCATGAGTTTTTAGTGATGCAACCACATTACATTATTACATGTCTATTTATTTTTGACATAGTGATTATTATACCTTATTGTTAAAGGAGTAACCATAATTTTGGTCAGAACATGATCTTCATGTTTTAGAACTAAAAAGAAACAGCCAATGATTTATGCCTAGCTATGGCATCCATCTCACTCAGATGCATTCATCTCATGCTCCTAGTCCTACCATTGTGTTATATGAAATTACACTCTATTTGAAGTCACAGATGGGCAGTCAAGAACGAAGTCATCTAGTGGAACAATATAATTAATCAGTGAATCTAATTCATTTATTAATTTATATATTAGTAATTTTCTCAGAAAGGTTTTGACTTGTTATTTATTTAATAAGTTGCAATTGTTATGTTATTATGCTATACTCAATTGGATTATTGCAAGTATGGTGAATTAAACATCTTATTATACCAAACTGACTGCTATAGTATGCATATACTTTTCTAAGACAATTTTCCCCACAGGACTTTGTGCTTTTTCCCCATGCTTGGATTCTTGCTACATGGCTCTTCCTGCTAGCACTACCAAAGGATCTGTATTGTTGTATAATGTCATGGATCGTCATTTACACTGTGAGGTTATGCCCAAAATTTTCCTTTCTGAGTTGCATTGTATGATAAAATGGAATCACTTTGTTACTATAATATTTGTGAGTTTTTTTCTGTTGTGCCTTCACTGCCTTGTAGCCAGAAACTAGTGAGGTGATGAAAACTAACAATATTAATCTTCATATTTTTGAATTGTTATTATAAATCCATATTCTTAACTGCCTTCTTGATTCATTATTTCTTGTTTATTTGAATAGAAAAAATCTTTATTCTTTTTTGGAATTTCAAGAATTAATATATTACTCAGTTACATGGACTGTATGCCTTAAAATGCATACTTGAGGCATTATGAGTTTTCCTTGTTTGGGGAGTGAAGTAGGAATAAGATTTGATATAAGTGTGAATCAGCAGTTGACTTTTTTCATGATTTTACCTCCTGGCAGTAATATTTTCTTTGCACGGATATGTTTACCTTTTTTTCTCTCTTAGTACTATATATGGACTAATATCCCTTTTTATATCTTTTTCTTATACTCGTGTACATTATTATTGAACCTGAATTACAGATTGAGGCTCATCGTTCACCACTGGCTGCAATGGTCCTTTCTTCTAATGGAATGTATGTAGCTACGGCATCTGAGCAAGGAACCATAATCAGAGTCCATTTGGTGTCAGATGCAACAAAGGTGATGAATAAAATTCATGTTTTTAAATATTGATAAGGGTATTAATGGTATTAGCCATTATTTCTTGTATCTTTCAGTATTTTCTCTCCTTGAAGCTGCAAACAATATGATTTTGGTTACAAAATTGCCATGGATCAGGTAATGGTACAATCCTCTGGCAGGTCCCTTTAAATTTAAGTCCTATCAAAACACACTTAGAGGCCCTTTACGGATAGTATCGACCTTGAGAGTCCACTCCCAAAGATGTTGGGTCAAGTGTGTGAATGCTCGTATATAACTGGTGGGGTCCCCCAAAATGATTATGTGTCCTGGAGAGATATCCTCCTATCCATTGCATATGTTGCAGTATTACTCATCTTCATCATTCTTTGTCTGATTGTCTCCTTTGTTGGATGACTCTTCAAGATAAGAGCAGTTGTATGTTTTATGTTATGTAAGTATACTGTCAAATCCTCTTGGTGTTTTCTCATCTTATGCTCAGTTAAGGCTGTCTGTTCACTGGATGAATGTTTCCTACTTCTGGTCCAATTTTTCCTAATATTGGTTTTCATATGATTCACTGCCCCAGATTTTGTTTTGCCGAGGATGTCTTCTTACTTATAGTCAATTTATAATACATTAGTATTTATTTTGGTAATATATGGAACCTGATGATGTTTTGACTGATCTTTTGCTCCAATAAGAATCTTCCTTTCCTTAATGTAAATTCTGAATGAGAATCTCAAAGAATAAGACATGTGTCCATCTGATGACGTATGTTTTTTAGTGAACACTAAAATATCTAGCATATACACAGACTAGTTGCAGTATTTTTCTAACCTGGTTATAGAAGGTAAATCCACAAAGTCTCTAACATGGAAATTGAACCATGGGACCAAATATTTTCCTGTAATGTTCTGCTCCTTTTTTTCGTTTACCATTGTTTTCCATCAAATTAATTCATACATGAGTAATATTCATGATATATTATATTTTTTGTAGCATTTTTGGATGCTTTTAATATTATATCTGTTACAATTCGACTTCACGTGTAGAATCTGACAACTGTTTTTTCAGCAGTCATATAGCTTTCGAAGGGGGACATATCCATCTACTATATTTTCTCTGTCGTTTGGACCATCAAAGCAGCTTCCAGATATTCTTGCAGCCTCAAGTTCTTCTGGTTCTATTCATCTTTTCACTCTTGGATTTGCTTCACATCCAAGGTGACAATTGCAATTTAAAATATTCTCCTCCTCTTTCCTATCTATTTAATTACTTTATTCATGTACACAAGTCAACATGTCACATTGGTTTGGGTTGCTTTAGATCACTAAAGGTTGAGCTAGCCTGATTTAAGTTCAAAGCAAACCTTTAACTACTATGTTTGGCTTGGTCACCGCTCAAATGGACTTGCAAACAGCTCGAGAAGCCAAATAATAAAAACTTTAATGTCTTGATCTTCTAAATACTATTAGGTGACATATAATGGGAACATAAGAAAGTTCACTCTGAATTGAATCTTTCATTTGTATACTGAAAGGAAGATGCAGATGCCATATTAGTCACTGCATGATCAAATGTGTACATCCTTTCCTTTTGTGTAGCTGATTTTAGTTTTCCATATAATTTGGAAAAGTTTACTTTGCTCTTTCAAAATTTTCTTTCTGATCCTTTTTTTTATAATTAATTTTCCTCCTCTGAAATGAATTTGGGATGTTATTTGATGCATATTTGATGACTTTAGCAGGAGCAAGAGATCAAATGGTTTTCTTGGATCAATACTTCCTGATGCTGTAAGTGATGTACTGGATCCTGCTGATCATCACGTACTTCATAATGCCATTCCTGCAGGGGTCAAAAGGTGAAGTATTTTGATGTTAAGTAGCTAGATTCATGACTCCTTGCCTTTTTAAGCCTGGGAACTATCTCGTATGGTCCTTATTTTCCGTAATCTGGAATTTTGCTACACCTTTTTAGAGATTTATTGTTTCTGCCAAACAAGTATTTCAGATTGTACTGTAGTTAGAATGAGTATTTGTGTATTTAAACTTATTTTGTGAAATCTATTGTTATACAGCTATGCAGTAATTCACAAGGTTGAAAATGTCACTGACACCTCATCATCTGAACTTCTAGCTTGTAGGTGAGTCCCTCATTATTGATCTGGTGGTCTTGGTCATTGACAGTCCACCTGGCAATATCTTTATTTAATGTCCCTGTCTCCCCCATTCACTCATTGTTTGGTATTGGCTATTGTCTTCTTATCTTGAGGATCTGCCAAGTGATTAACCAGAGATCCTGCATATATGGTGTAGCTTTTAAACTGATTTCTTATAATCCGTAGCTTCATTTGCCTCTTGAATGTATAGGCTTCTGTTTCATGTGGAACTATGGTTTACTGCAACGCTTTATATGACCTCCTGGGCCTTTACATTATTGAATATGAAGAAGGAAATTGTTTTCTTGTTTGATTATATATGCATGCATTTTTGCAATTCTACCATTGTCCAGCACACTGACAATCAATTTAACGACCAAGACAGATGTGGTAATGCATGTTGAGGGATTAATAAATGTGGGAGGCGATATGGTGAACATTATTAATTGTACTATAGGTAGCTTCGCTTCCCGAGATTCTTTCGTATTGCTAATTTTCAAATTTTGGAATCTCCTCGACTGTTGATATCAGGTCCAAAGTGTAGTCGTAACATTGTAAAGGTTCCTTGTCACCTTCAGCGTGAGGCTTTGGTTGACTATGCAAATCAATGTTTTTTTGCTTGGTGGATTGTATATTTAGCATTTAGTTTTAGTTTTACTTAATAAAAAGTACATTTTCAATCTTCATAACTCATGTCCTTCCCATGTTTCAATAAATTTCTGATATCTCTTTGTCTGCTAAGAGTTTATGTTTTTCAATTTTACAGGGTCAATATGTCCGTAATAACTTATAACGGCTACTTCCAGGAATACAATTTGAGCATTGATGCCCAGAATGAATTCTCTTGGGCTTTAGGGCGTGAGTTCAATCTTTTGACTGTGACCACGGATAAGGCCCCATGAGTGGAAAAATAGTAGTTTTTAGTGCCCCATCTATTACTGCTGCAAAGCTGGAGGAATTGCATGCTACACTTCGAGAAGCTTTCAGAGCTAACAGTGCTGCCAACGTGAAAGTGTTAGTTAGAGAAACTTCCAGAGCTATTACTGCTGCTAACATGAATGTGTTATTTGGAGGAAATAATGATCCGAAATTCCCTATAGATATGTATATATGATAACAATATATGAATTTATTTATTTTTACCTATCCTACAGGTCCTAATTTGGGTCTTGGAAGAAATTTAATCGTATGATAAACTCATTAAACCAATAATTTACTTACTGATAACTAGCCTTTTTCATTCAAATCCGTGGTTAATTGTAAGTAAATTATTGGTTATATTAGTTTATTGCATGGATTAATTTCACGGCGAACCCAAATTAGTATTTAACACCCTGACTATTTTGGTCATCCTAAAAAAATTGTAATTATTCACACTACATGTTTTAGGCAAGTTCTGTATATAAAGAATTTGGAACTGCAGTAATAAAACTTGTTATATATATAAACATGCGATGTTACGAAAGTCAAACTGTTGCCATGATATTCATTATTAAGGGTTTCTCTTTGTGATATTTTTCTCTTCAATTGTTATCCATTATTAAGGTTGATAATAATATTGGATTGTTTTTGCCTTTTTGGGATTTTTTTCTGTTCTCTTGGTCTTTGTGACTGTGTTAACAACCCTTTTAAGTTAATAAAGCATTAAGGCACGAAAACGTTTTTACTTTAAAGTTTTAGTAATAATCTAGTCTTTTGTCGTTATGAATATGAAGTAGCATTAATCTTTTACCATACTTGAAATGCAAGAAAGTTCATAAAAAGATAAAATAAGAAAGAATGTTAAATGCCAGTTAACAATACTCGAATGATGCAAAAATGTTAAAGCTTGATCATAGGGGTATCTCCGTCCTCATGAGGGTTGGCGCACTTGGTAAAACCTATCCGCCAATCATTACTCATGGCTTGGGTTCAATATTAAAGTTTTCCTCTTTGATAGGCAATAGTTAATCCCACTGTATATTCTTATTGAGGTTGCTAATTTTTCCTACCATTGCAAGGGACATATTTTCACCTAATTTAAATTTCTAAAAAAAAAAGTGTATCTCAATCATTAATTAAGAAATGACAATGGAAATTTAGTGTCTCAATTCAGTATTCAAACTCATTTAAAAAAGTTTAAATTCATTTCTAAACAAATTGAAAAAACAAGCAGAGTCTAAAGTGATATTCATATTGACGGGACATTGGCAACTATTAACACTGATTCTTTCTAGAATATTAAAAGCTTCAGTGTATGTTTTCAGTAAAATAGCACCACCAGCTGCTGAATCGATATTAGTCCATCCTTGTCCACTTAAACCTCGGTAAAAGATTTGCAGGAGTGCCCAGTTGGGCAGTCCGTGGGTGGAGTGAGGCATTTCCTCAACATTCCCTCGATAATGTTATCCCTTAGATCACAAACTTTGGTTGGAGGGAAGAATTTCATGAGAAAAGCTTCTCCCATCTCCTTCCAAGTTGAGATGGACTGAGATGGTAGAGTCTAAAGTGACTCATTAAGTATGAAGTAAAATCTGAACTCATATTTACGCTCGTATTTACACTCACTCATTGGAGGTTTTTTTTTTTACAAAAAGAAGAATTAAAAAAAATAATCCTAATAGGGACAATACAATAATTGGAGATCTTCCTAGTAAGACCTAGACCAAAGTAAGAAATAAGAAAATGGAAACTGACTTGTTGAGTTTTGATCCATCCGGGTGGATCAGAAATGTCTAATTGGAGGTTAGTATTTGTATCTTGGATCAGTATACTCTATAAAAGAAACGTCATAAGCAGTAACACCATGTACAAGTAATGACATATAGCCGAAAACATGATATGTGTGCATAGTTAAGAGAGTAGGGAGTTCAGATTTCAGAAAGTGTATCTGAAAAAATTAACCATTTATTTATAGAAGGAATTATTTGTAGGTGTAGAGTTTTGACAAGAGTGAAATTATTACGGAACAAGGTAAATAACCTTATCACTTACAGGATAGAGGCTTTTGTCTCTTATCTCGTAATTTTTTAATCTATATCCAATCCAACATGATACTAAACTATTATTATAGTTATATAATAAATTACATTTTTTATATGAAGTATTTTTTTTTTTTTACATTTTTTTTTTTTAAATTTCTGTGTTTTTGTTTTTTAATTTGACTGTGTCCCTGCAATCTAACTGCTAAGCCTTCTAATCAAGGGAATCTCCAACCCAAATTAGACAACTATAATCTCAACATTCTAAAAAATTAAATAGTTCACATAGTCGCTTCACATCTCTTTAAAGCATTAGAGGATTTGAGGGCTTCGGCTGAAAGATTTTTCTTCTTCTTGTTTTTTTATTTTTTTAAATCATGTAAAAGGAATTCTGTAACTAACCTTTCGAGTCATGTGAAAATAGTTCAATAACAGCATTAATACCATTTCATGCATTCTAAACCTGGATTGGATTTCATCTCATAAAAAAGGTGTTTTTACGTAAGGAATCATAAGGTAATAGTCACTACTCACTAGTCAAGGCAGGCGAATTTCTCCATAAAGGATTTGGAACTTGCTAAAGAAATTGTAATCATGGCAACAATATCTCTTTCTATACTTGTTTCGTTGGCTTTCATATTCCATTTTACCTTCGCCACCACTGCATCTCTAAGCCTAGTGATTAAACTCATACATTACGAATCTGTATTATCTCCCTACAATTCAGAAGACCCCATTTGGGATCATTACTTGCATAAAAAGATAAAGCAAGTTTCTAATAATGACTATACATCCACTCTTGTTCCTAGCCCCAGAAATGTTGTGTTCTTAATGAATTTCTCAATAGGTGAACCACCTGTTCCACAACTTGCAGTCATGGACACTGGCAGTAGCCTCACATGGGTTAAGTGTCTCCCCTGCACATTTTGTTCCCAGGAATCTGTTCCAATATTTGATCCTTCAAAATCCTCCACTTATGCTAACTTGACATGCAGTGAATGCAGCAAATGTGATGTGAATGGTCAATGCCCATACAATGCAGAGTATGTTGGGAGTGGCTCATCAGAAGGGATCTATGCCAGGGAACAATTAACTTTAGAGACCCCAGATGACAGCTTAGTAAGGGTGCCTACTAGTTTGATATTTGGCTGCGGTCGTAGGTTTAGCCTATCATCCAGTGGTTACCCTTACCAAGGAATCAATGGGGTGTTTGGACTTGGCAGTGGAAGTTTTTCTTTGGTACCTAGCTTTGGTAAGAAATTCTCCTATTGTATTGGCAATTTAAGAAATACCAATTATAAGTATAACCATTTGGTATTGGGGGATAAAGCAAGTATGCAAGGTGACTCAACAACTTTGAATGTAATCAATGGTTTATATTACGTTAATCTTGAAGGTTTAAGTATAGGCGGGCGAAAGCTTGATATTGATCCAATTGTATTTGAAAGATCAACAAGAGATAATAACAGTGGAGTACTAATTGACTCTGTAGCAGACCACACATGGCTTACAAGATATGGATTTGAAGTTCTCAGCTTTGAAGTTGAGAACCTCCTTCAGGGGGTTTTGACCCAAAATAAGCACAACAGCTATACATTGTGCTATAGTGGTGTGGCAAGCCGAGATCTAAGTGGCTTTCCGGTGGTAACATTCCATTTTGCTGAGGGTGCTGTTTTGGAGTTGGACGAAACAAGTATGTTTATCCAGACCTCTGATAATGAATTTTGCATGGCTGTGCTTCCAGGAAACTATTTTGGCGATGACTATGAAAGCTTTTCTTCTATTGGAATGTTGGCTCAACAGAATTATAACGTGGGTTATGACTTGAATGGGATGCGGCTGCACTTTCAGAGGATTGACTGTGAACTTCTTGATGGGTGAGTATAAATAACCACATTAGTGCCAACTCTATTTCTTGTGTCCTGTTTTCAGGTTTAGCAATTTTAGTCTTTGAAGTCTGTCTTTAAATTATTATTATTTTGGTTTTATGTTTCCTCAATTATGCGTTCCTTGGCATTTTAAAATGAGAATTTTATTATACCTTTTTTCCGATTAGAATTCTAGAACAGAGGAGAACATTTGTACAATGCATACTCAATCTGATCCTAGCTAAACGCAATTACGTCCAATTGCGTTAACTAAATTTTCTTATTCTAATCACAAAATGTGCCTAAATGGTGACGCCTAAATGGGAATTAACTCAACAACTATAACGCGTAAGGACAACTAGTAGTATTAACAAAAGAATAAATAAAATAAAAAATTTCTTCTTCTTAACCTGATCCTTATGCTTTTTAGGGTGCACCATTCAATTAGTAAATAGGGCGTAAAATGCCATATGAGCCTTCTATATACCAGCCATCTTTCACAATGATCAATTTTAACACCAATGCGAGATTTCCAACACCAAGGTTAAACTCAATTTACGCAATTCCCCGTCTTTCATCCATAAAAATGTTTTCAGGTCATTTGATAAACATGATGCATCTTTCTGAACTTGACAATCCTTAATTCCAGTATCCCATAGAGGTTAGCTTTTCCAAAAACTTTTCAAAAAGCATAGATGTTCTTGTTTCCCTGTCTCTTTTCGTAAATGGTGGGACATAAAAAAGGAAATTAATTTGTTATACATGACAACAAAACTAAGACCAAAATGCAACTGGTATTCGTAATTAAGTTACAGGACAACCTCTATGAATCTTGATAATTTGGGTTATATTATCTAAATGGGTGTACACTTCAACAACCTATCTAGTTCTTGTCTTAGCAAACTTAGGTCTGGATGCCTTCTTCTCCATCTTTTCCCTCTTCCTGCGGGTCTTTTCATCTTCAGGTGATTCCTGATTCACAAAAGGCATACAAAATTGTAGTTATTGTGGTCCTTTTTGTGGTCTGAAAGTGAAAACTAATCAATAATGTGACCATACCTCTGAACCTTGTGGCAAAAATCCTTTAATAAAGCCAAAGGATTGGTAAGCTCCAAAAGCTGGTATCTGGCAAGGGTCGAAAAGGAGGTATTTAGTCACTGACTTAATCTGAAGGTTGTTGTATTCTCTTTTTTAATGCTTGAATGGTTTTACTATTTTTTATGTCAAAAACCTTCACATATTGATTAAATTGTAACTTCTAACAGCAAATATATATATATATATAGTCATAATTCTAGCAGTTCCCAACCACAATTGATTTGTACGGGAACACCTAATATAATCCATAAAGGGACAAACTACTATGCCTTTGTAACAACAGTCACTAGGAATTAAATGATAAAGCACACTATTTTTATTTTTTTATAGCAAAAGCACACTATCTTTTAACTCAACTCAACTCAACTCTCACATAGTACTCCTCCATATGGTAAATGAACCTTTGTCTAACTACAGAATACGATGGCAAACACACCCCCACCCCACCCCGCAACATGCACTTATAAGTAACGTACTCTCTCTCTCTCTCTCTTGGACAGTACTCCTCCCTTGGTAAATTTGTCTAACTACAGAACATGATGGCAAACACAAACAGCCAAGGCTGGCAGATAATAAAACTCCTTTCATGAAGCCAAGACTGCATTCTTTGAAGTGGCTTCAGTGCAGGTGTTGACTATAGCCTTGAAGAGTTACAGTCCTACATTCTAAAAGTATGCCACATTTTTGTGCCAATAAAACCAACCAAAAGCTTACACACGAACAAATATGGATCTTACCACAAGATATATGTACCAGAATTTTCCAGAGATGATGGACATGACTTGCACAAAGCATGTTATGTAGATAACATCATGTAAATAGCTGCAAAAGATAACTGACAGTAAGTTAAGATTATATATCACACAATTAGTAGATGGTAGCAAAATAAATTTGGGATAGCTGAACTTTAGTTTTCAATATAGCTTGGTTCAAGATAAGAGGGTCAAGGACTATTGTTGACTGGAAGTCTAAAGAATTGGGAGGGAATGATAACTTCCCCAGATCTATGAGATCAACTGACTATTAAAAAGTCTAGGTTTACCCAGGGGAAAACACTCAATCTGCAACAATAAAGACACATACACCTTTTGTTCAACGATCAAGTTTGACAACCGTTTAAATGATGGAAGAAATTGCTAATTCTGGTTTACTTTCATTTTACTGAAGAAAAATATCATTCGTATAGTAGGTTATGTATTTCAAGAGCTTCAAATATTTTGAAGAATTAGTACTGTATACCAATTATGCGTAAAAAAAACATCAATAGCAAAAACTGTGAAAGATCAAATTGCAGAACCATTGCCACAGAAAAAACTAATTTTTCAAACAAAGTCGCACATGTTGATTATAGACAGCGATTGAATAGATTTCGATCAATTACCCCATCTTTAGCTATAATTTATCACGGAAAAATGAAGAATTTGAAACTCGGGTAAGTGTGAGCTGAAATTGACAATAGAAGGTGATAATGTTGCTTGTCCGAGGAATAATAACGCTGCTGGCATATTCAAATGACACAATACATGAACAAGAGGAGACAAAGACATACCCACAAACTCCACCTGTAGTCATATCAAACCCACCATCTAAAAGTTCACCATCTTCGGCGTAACTAGGGGTTGCCATCTTAGCAAGTTGTTGATAGGGAAAAAGATATGCTAGAGAAGTCACAATCAGGCCAATCCAGTGCTTCCAGGTGAACGTTGAATGGAAGATCAACATCCTTACTAATACATAAATAACCTGTTCAAAATAAAACCAATGAATTAGGTCATCAACAATCAATACACTAGTAAATTAATATAAGGAGCAAGAATATGAAGGCTCATCATCTCATGCCAAATCCTAATTGGTTCCGACAAGAACCCTAGAAAAAAAATATAGAATTAAAGAGAGCGAGAGTGTAAAGGAAGAGTACGTTGCAAGCGATGATGATATAACGGAGCCTAGACATGTGACGAGCGTTCTCTTCCTTGCGTTTCTTGGCACCCTGATTCGCCATCTCTCTCACCTTCTCTTCTTCACCCAACGAGGTGATGCTAACTAACGCTCTTCTAGCCCTTCTGGGCTTTTTCACCTGAGAAAGGTGTAATTTTACAAGCTATTTACAATTTTATCAGTTTGGACCAGATGGGTAGGTGAGGAGTGAGTGAGACTCGCATGTGATAAGTAAAGATGCCTAATCACGTGACTACTTAAATTGATTTGATTAATTAAATATAGGGTATATAAAAGGGAAAAATAAATCTTATGTTATAGGAGAATTTTAATCTCATGTCATAGATACATCAAATGTGGAACTCACTTATTAAAAAAAACAAAAAACAAAAAATAAGTGGGTGTAGGAAGTGTTTATTTTCTTATGCAACATGAGAAAAACAAATCCCATATATAAAAGGGTTAGGATCATTTTAAAAATATATGAGGTTGAAAAAAAATATAAAATAAACTCCACTTTTGATTTATAAGTATATGAGAGAATATTTCTCTAATATAATATGAAAGTAATATTTTCTAAATTTTATTTATGAAATTGCTGTATATTTAAAGATTTAATATTTTTCGACATATATAAAAATATATAAATTTCATATTTTTTTTCTCTTTTTTTTTAAATTGTGAGTGCACCAGAAAAAATTATTGTAATATTCCCATAAAATATCCCTGTTGTTGGCTAGTTGAATAAATAAAAATTGTAACAACGAAAAGAAACATAATAAATAACGGGGTTTATATTTATCATTTAACATGACACAACAAACTTTTCTACACACACAATATTTTGCGAGGTCCACACTTTTTGAAGAAAAAAAAAAAAAAAAATACGGCACGCAAAACGAATCTCTATAACATTATATAATCATTTTTACAACAAAACTCTTATAAAATCCAAATAACAAAAGAGCATAACTATTATTAACTTCGTACAGATATTTTCTTCTTCTGCTTGTTGGACCTTGGAAACGCAAAAACTTCCACAATGGGCCCATGACCCACCACTCCACGGCATGGGCCATGGGTAATTTTACAAGCTATTTACAATTTTATCAATTTGGACCAGATGGGTAAGTGACTGACTCACATGTAAGTAAAGATGCCTAATCACATGACTACTTAAATTGATTTGATTAATTAAATATAGGGTTTAATGTTTAGGAAATAAAATTATTTCTTATATACATATAAAAGTGTGTAGAGCCATATGAGGAGAAGAGAGAAAATATGAGACACACATAAAAGGAGATAATTTATAATATTAGAAATATTAAACCTTTAAATATACAGTAATTTCATAATTAAAATATGGGGAATATTACTACCATGTTAGAGAAAAAAATTATAACTTTTTCTCTCTCCTCTAAGTTGTGAGTGTATGAGAAATTTTTTTTATCATATAACATGACAGTAATATTCTCTGTAAAATATCTTGTTTTCTGTTTGAATTAAATAAAAATTGTAATAAGGAAAAAAAAACATAATAAATAACAAAGAGCATTACATGCATTGAATAATAAGGCATTATCCAATAACAAATATTCAAAGTTTCAAACTGCACTGCACTTCGTATAAATATTATTAACTTCGTACAGATATTTTTCTTCTTCTGCTTGTTGGAACTTGGAACACAGAAACTTCAACAATGGGCCCATGGCCCACCACTCTATGTTACTGGCCTCAAAAAACCCAATATTTAGAAGCCCAATGGACCTAGTGCTTACTTTCTGTATCAATTTTTTTGCCCGCTTAGTGCTGCTTCTTAACTTTTATCCACGTAAGCATAACTACTAACTAGGCATTCGACTAAAATAATTAAAAGGATCCCAACAATCAACATGACCAAACATCAACCACAAAAGAGTCCAAGTAGGCCACCGAAAAAATAGAAAACAAAAAAGAGTCAAGTAGAAAGGGTGATTGATATCTTTTTAATTTTTAATTAGGTATCGAGGAGAATATAATCTTTGATTCCAACTCATAGTACCTGCATTTATGGTTGGAATCAATGAAAACAGCGCTTTCAATGTTTGCTTTCGCTTAACGGTACTCATTTGTCATTTCTTGGTAAACAAAAAAACGTTATTGGCGCATTATTTTTCTAAATTAAAAAATCTGAGAGTTTTTTCTTCTTCTTGTTTTTGAAGTAAAGTTTTTTATTTTATACCATTAAATATGTATCATGTTAAATAAATATTAAAAATGAAACAAATGACAATACCTTTTAAAATTAATATGAATATATAATATATATTTAATAATTAGAAAATATTTTTATTACTCAAAAAACACTTAAATATTAATGCCCGGAATTGTTAATGATGAAAACAAATTCATTGGCCAACGTGGAATATTCCCATGCAATAAGTATTCTATTCTTAAAACGATGGCTTTATTACTGTTCGAGCTAGGGGTTCTTTTTATTTCGGACAAATAATTTGGACCGTGCAGCGGAAGAGGATATGATGCATTCTCGGTGTACTTGAACTAGTGGTAAAAAGAATATTACTTAACAGTTAATTATGTTTATAATTTATTTTATTTGAACTGTATTAAAATAATCAATTTATATTAAATTGCTAAAAAAAGATATGAAATAATTTGTTATAATATAGAAAAAGCTTGTTGAAAAAGTGTTTTATTTATGGAAAAAATGTGTGTCATTTTAAAGGACGTAAAGTTATGTCATTTTAAGAAAGAGAAAGAGATAGATAAATGAGAAGAGAAAGCTGACAAAAAAAATAAAGATGTGGGTTCCACCTCTTTGTGAGAATAAAATGATATAAATTGTGTCATTTAAAAGGATAAATATTTTTCTCTTTATTTATACAACATAAATAATCAACCGTTTAAGCCATGCATCTTATTTTAAACCAAAAGTATTTTATCCGAAAATTTGAGAAACTGTTGCCTCAAGCAAGGGATTGGTCAGGATGGTAAATAGAATTACAACATGCTACAACTTTTCAGTTCGGAGGTGGTTGAAAAGATCATAAGTATACTCCTCCTGATATGCATGATGGCCTAGATAGAAGCTTTTTGTTACTGGGTGGTACGACAGTAATACGTGTTAGTAATTGCTATCTGTATCTAGCAAAATAATCCTTTTAGCATAACAACTTCTCTAAGGAGGTTTGAAACAAGCTGTGAAAATGGAAAGAGCATCAATAGACTCAAATATTTTTATGGAGATTACTACTCAAAAGTTTACCTGCAAGATTAGATCAGCTCATGGTCCATGGCGGCCTCTCTTTGCCTGATCTGTTAGCAGGAGAGAGAGTCTTTGCTGCATATTTTTCGAGATTGCCGGGTGATTCGTGATATATGGTAAGGTCTCTTGCTATATGATAGACTAGCTCGATTATGTGATGTCAATTGTGATAATTAGGTGATTGGTAATTGGAATTGTGATGTCAAGTGTTTGTTTGGAGTTCATTATGTATTGTTTGTTGCTGGTATATTTGGTGCTAGATAAATGAAGTGACCCACGATAGCTCTCCCAATAGGGATCGCCACAGCTTGCCTTTACAAACACAAAGCCAAGGTTGCGACTCTATTCCTCCAAGGATGTTAGTTGGCAGCTTCATTTGACTCCGTATCTTATATTAAATATAGATGGGACCTCAAAAGGTCAAACGACTGAAGCAGCTTGTGGAGGGCTTTTTCGTGATCAGAGAGGAGTTTGGCTAGGGGGGTTTGCTGCAAGAATTGATCACTATGCTGCTTTACAAGCAAAATTGTGGATTGTGTTAAAGGGGCTGAAGCTAGCTTGGGAGGCAGTTGGATAAATGTTTTGGTTGAAAGTGACTGTCAAACGGTTATTGCATTGTTTTCTAAGAAGAGAATAAAGCTCGTGAGTCTCATTTAATAACTTAAATACGAGTTTTTGTTAGCCATTAATGGAATGTTCGTTTTATGCATGTTCTTTGGGAAGACAATTAGTGCGCAGATTGATTGACAAACTATCTGTTGGTGCATGTGCATCTGAAGTTACCTAATGAGGTTCACTTTTCTGACCCCAGAATTATGGTGTCGTTTTCAAACTGATAGTATGAGTGCGAATTTGCTAGACGTATATAGACTCGTTAGAAACTTCCCTCTCAAGTTTTTGTATGCTTTTTTTTTTTTTTTTTTTCTTTCAATCTTTACTTTAATGTATAAAAAAAAACAAGCGGTTTTCATAAAATCATAAGATGTTGTTGGAAAAAATAATCTTTCAGAAATAAACAAGGTTATCGTAAAAACAGTAGGGCCTCTGGATTACGTGAAAGGTGGGTCCAGGATTAAAAAAAATACGATGTCGACCCGCGAGGCATGAAAATAAATGCGAAAAACGACGTCGAACCTAGCAAAATAAAAAATGGACCCTCCATTTGGCATCATGTTTAATGAAGAGAAATCCTGGTAGTTGAGCAAATATGTATTTTATATGAAAATTGCGAAATAAGTCGAGGCATTACAGGTGTTGTTTCAGGTTTGGAGGTAGTAGCACCTCTTCTGGGTGTCGTGTTTTTCTAACGTGCAAACAAACGTGTGATTTTCCGAGGCAAATATCGCAAACAAGAAACAAGAAAAAAGACCGAGACCAAAACCAAAACCAACGTGGAATAGCACTAAGGCTCAGACTAGCTCAGCAGGCTCTGTTATCAAGATCCATCTATCTACTCACTCACTCAAGGCTCGCTTTTCTTCTTCTTCTTCTTCTTCTCCTTGTTCCGGTTTTGTGGCAGTGTTGTTATCTCATTCAGGTAATTTTTTTAATTCTTTCTCATCCTTCTTTTTCCTGATTTCACGCTATTGATATGATTTTCTTTAAGGTTCCCCTTTTCAGCCATTTTCGTAAGATATTGGAATGAATTGGTAATGGCGTTTTGTCTAATCCTGATAATTCTGTTTCTCTCGCACGGTGCATGCATATAACATTTGTTTACTGGCGATCAAATCTTTTTTTTTTCTTGTCTGAATCTTTCACTAAGTTCCGTAATTATACCTTTTTTATGGAATTCAAAGACTTTTTAAATCATAAATCAAGATTTTTGTTTTTAGTTTAAATTTGGTTTCTATGTTACTGAGAAATTGTTTATGATTCCAAATAGAGTGATTGGTATCTTTGATTTCAGGGATTCTTTGTGGGGTTTACTTCTCCTGAAGGTCGTTTGTTCTTATTTGAATTGGGAGTGGTTGAAGATGAAAAGCGCGGTTCGTTCTCTACGCCAATTTCGACCGGTCTTTTGGAGGCAAAAATGTAATTTGATCAGTGGTCTTGTTGCAGAAACACCGTGTCACTTTGAAAAGTACTGTCATATTCATAGTTCAGCTTATAGAGTTGTTGATCATGCTGAGACCAATTTGTTTAAAAACCATTCATTTACAACAACCACAAGAGCTCTGTCCATTGCTAATGCAAAACTCGTAACTAGAGGTTCTCCTCTTTTTTTGGTCTCAATTTCTCCTTGTGCTGGATTGGAGAGGGTTTGAAACTTCTTCTTCTTATTTAATTTGTATTGGAATTTGTTGTTTCAGTCACAGAAACAAACAGAGCGGGGCCTCTTGTTGAGTATGAACGAAGAATTGCTAACGGTGAACTTGTAGATGGTGATAGTTGTCAGGTAACAATGAAATGGATTTCCCTACTTTGGTTTATTGGTAAAATGCTGTTGGATATTGTTATATGGATTTTTTCATTGCAATTTATTAGTAATTTCTCTAGTTAATCTTTTCCTTAGTTTAAGCATGTTCCTTTTTGTTTTATTTTTTTGGAGGCAGGTAGAGACACTGACAGAACTTCAGAGACTCTATGATGAGCTTGTTGAGTCTGCTGATGCCTGCCAATTGGATCGCAATATGGCTTCTGAAAAACCTGTAAGGTATACTTTTCTTTCTTCCAGTATTTATCTTGCTTCCTGCTGATATGTCTGTTCAAATCTTGAAGCTTATCTTTTTTCTGTTTTCACTTCATGTTCAGGCTTTTGAGTTTAGTTTGACTTTCTTTTCTACAGAGGTGGGTGGCTGTGGTCTCGTCTCTTGTCACTTCCTTCTTATTCACCTGTAAAAGGTCTATATCTTTATGGAGGAGTGGGTACTGGTAAAACTATGCTGATGGACCTGTTTTTCAATCAATTGTGAGTTTGACATGAATTTCTGCTGCACTGATTTTTTTATTTTTTTTTCACTTGCTGTTTTCTTGCATGCCATTATTTTTTCAAGTCTCTATAGGAAGAATGTGAGGCATATTTAGAATATTCTATGGAAGTGTGTTCTTATGAGGATCAAACCTTGTAATCTGACCATCTTCACTGGCTGTCTCTTATGCTTGATTTTTTCTTCCGCAGGCCCTCTAATTGGAGGAAAAAGAGGATTCATTTTCATGACTTCATGTTGAATGTACATAGCCTATTACAAGTAAGTTTGCTGAACCTGTTCACCACCTCTCAAATGTATTTATTCTTTTTTACTTTTTGGTAGATAAAAGGGGGCCGAAGCCCCACAGATATATTTATTTCTAATGCATGTTAAAGTTCAATTTTTCCCTATACAGTCATTGTTCATTATTCATTGATTTAGGTAAGCTACTATTGAATTGTATTTCTTGTTGGTAAAAAATCTTTACTTACCATATGGGAAAGTTCCAGTAATTATGTATGTTTTAGAGTAAGAAATTGTTTTAAGAATCTTTAAATGATACAAAAGAGGCCTTATGCTTTGAGCATTAATTAATTTTGTTTCCAGTTTCTAGAATGATGTTATCTTTGTATGCATAATTGGGGAACAAAATAAGAGGAAGCTGATCTCAAATTTCCTGTTGTGCATCCTTGTAGAAGCATAAGGGGTTGTCAGATCCTCTTGATATTGTTGCAGGAGAGATTTCTGATGAGGCAATTTTATTATGCCTTGATGAATTTATGGTAAATTTTTAGTAAAATATTTATTTCTTTTGGCAATAGATCATGCATATTTTACGTTGATGCCATAAATTGAGATTTGTTATTTGGTTTTGCATAGGTAACAGATGTTGCTGATGCATTGATCCTAAATCGCTTGTTTAGACATTTGTTCAGCAAAGGCATTGTAAGTAATATAAGCGCGTAGCAGCCTCTCTAAACAACATGATTTTATGGAATTGTTGCCTAATTAATTTCAAAATTCCATTTCTTCAATGTTCTTGAACACAAGTATAGATTCTAGTATCCACTTCAAATCGTGCTCCAGATAACCTATACGAGGGTGGATTGCAGAGGGATCTCTTTCTACCCTTCATTGCAACATTGAAGGTATGCATCTAAATGTTTCCTCAGTTGAGAGTGGTGTCAGATCAGATAGGCTATTCTTGAGCTTCATCATATTGTGGATAAGCCTGAAACTTGAAACTCAATGAATTCAATGATTAAAGAATTTAGCCAAGTCAATGCTGGCATGAACCAAATTCTATTTAGGGTTATAGCAATTGTTATATAATACCTTAACTAATGCCTTTTGTTTTGTGGAATGCTTTCATCTGTGTTTTGTAGAAGAGAGAGTAAAAACTCTAGTGCACGTATGATGAGACCTTGGGATGCACCACCCCAAAAGCTAGCTCAAAGGGTGGGAGTGCCCCAAGGCCTTATAAAGACCACATTAGTTGCCCATTCAACCAATGTGGGACTCCAAGTTCCATACCTTGCAAATGGAACCCAACATTCCACCACGCTTCCCCAGTGTGTGCCCCCACGCACACTCCACGTGATGGTTGCTCTTATACCATTTGATGAAACCTTGAGATGCACCACCCCAAAAGCTGGCTCAAAGAGTGGGAATGCCTAAGGCCTTATAAATCCCACATTAGTTGTCCTTACAACCAATATGGGACTCTAAGTCCCATACCTTGCAAATGGAACCTAACAATGTATATTCATATTTTTCTCTATATACTTGTGTTCTCCTAGTAATTTCATTATATATGGTATACTGATGTAGGAAAGATGTGTAGTACATGAGATTGGTTCATCAACTGATTATCGCAAAATGACTTCGGTATGACATATGTACTTTTATATCTGTAGAAGTTTCTAATAAATCTTTCCAGTTTTAATCTCAAATTATTGATTTTTCTATTTTTATTTTCTACCAATTTGGACCGCAGGGTCAGCAAGGATTCTATTTGGTTGGCAGAGATTTATCTGGCCTTCTTAAGCAAAAGTTTCAACAGTTGATTGGAGAAGGCACAGCTACTCCTCAAGAAGTGGAAGTAGTAATGGGAAGGACACTGCATGTATGTGTCAAATTTTATCTCGCAGAGACACATGCAGAGCACAATCACTAGTATTATCAATCTTAGCTATTTTCATTCTCTTCATCAGGTTCCACTGGGAGCCAATGGATGTGCCTTTTTTCCATTTGAGGAACTTTGTGACAAACCTCTTGGGGCTGCGGACTATTTTGGATTATTCAGTAAGATATATATGTTTGAGTGAATTTTCTCGTGTATCTTTTATTTCTATCCAAAAGACAGGATTCGTTTTTGTTGTTTGTTGGGAATTGCAGATGAGGATGATAAAAGTGACTTTAAGTTTTGAGCATGATAAAAGTCAGATAATGATTTTCTTTTTTGTGGAAACTTTGTTTATTTTCTCCGGTTGTCGTAGTTTGGTTTCCTCTTTAAATATTTGTTGTCCTTCATACTTTTGGAGAACTGCCAATATAAAAAGATCCAAAAATCAGTGTTACACAGAATATCTTGTTTTTTGTTTTCACAGAGAACTTTCATACTTTAGCATTGGAAGGCATCCCAGTTTTTGGGCTTCATAATAAATCAGCTGCACATAGATTTGTCACTTTGGTTGATGTAAGTCCCTTTCCATGTTTTAAATGGGTTGCTCGTGTTTAAATTTTCTCTGCTGTAAGTTTAACTAATAAAATTTATCAAGTTTTTTGTATTTCAATAGTAGCAAAAAGGAAGTTGACTTTGACTAGAAAAGCTGAAGATTGAAATAAATATTCAACTTTCAAGAATTCTTGTGATTGAAAGTCTCATACCTGAAGTTGAAATTTTAAAGATTTTCTAAGAACGTGAAGCTTATAGGCCACTCTGATGAATCGTTGGGATGGATAAAATCATATGTATTTTTGTCACCCTCTATATTTTTTTTTCCTGTAGTGAGAAAGAAGAATAAGAATGATGCTTTGTTTCATTGTGATTACAGGTGATATATGAGAACAGGGCCAGACTATTGTGTACAGCTGATGGGAGCCCTCATGATCTCTTTGGAAAAATAGTAACAATATCTGAGGCTAAACAAATGGCACCCAGGACCTCTTCGAGATCGAGGAAAAATGATGATTCTGACCTTTGCGTAGACAATGAACTGGGGTTTACTAAAGACCGCACCATTAGTAGGTATGATATATCTCCATGAAACACTTATTATATAATTATTTTTGGTAACAATATGATTTGGTATAACCATCTCAAGTGATACGAGTTGGAAACTCTCATCTTAATATGGTTTGTGTTGTCAACTTATCAAGATCCTGCAACAAACTTAAAGGTTGAGGTACTACCAGTGCATTTGAAATTGACCCCTTGGTTGTTTTTTATCTCATGAAATAGAAAAGAAAACTTGGATGTTGTTTGATATACAATGCTGGGAGCAGATGACCGCTACTGTTTATTCTTAAAAAGATATCCTTTTTTAACGGAGTTAAAAAGTTTACCTTTGCTCTTTTTTATTGAATCTGTTCTGTTAAAATGAGATCACTATAAAGCAATGTAAGTGTTAAAAGAACCATCTCACCTAAAAGCTCAAGCCCTTAGTTAAGGGCCATTTTAATAGTTTTATACTAGACTTCTCTAACATACCTCCTCGTGCAAGAGTCCTTTGGACTTGAAGCGTGAATATTGCACCGGCCTATTTTTTTTTTGTTCTATCTCGTACTAACTTAATTTCACTAGAAAGTTAGGAGTGGTGAGAATTGAACTTGTGACTCTGTAGTCACGGAGGCTTTTATATAAGTTAAAGAATTATCTCACCTAAAAGCTCAAGCCCTTAAGTGAGGGCCATTTTAATGGTTTTATACTAGACTAATCTAACAGTAAGCAAGGAAATATAATTTAGAATACACCACTGAGAACCACCACTATTACTGTATAAATGTGCATATTTGTTGCAATTACTGATTTGTGTATAAGGATTGTTCTCTTACGCTCACTAGTCGGGTTTAATGGAGAATTTTTTTTTTTTTTTAACTGATTGTGTGACATAAATTTCATGCAGACTGACAGAGATTAACAGCAGGGAATACTTAGAGCATCATGCTGCCATGTTAGCAGAAAAGAAAGAAAGGGATCAAAATGTCCTTGAAGCTTGAATAGAGGATCCGAAACCTCCAACAGTGGTTCCTCTACTATTGTTGTAGTATATACGGAGTGAAAATGGGGTAAAATGAGTATTGATTGTTACACAACCAATAATTTCCAAAAAAAAGAAAAAGCCCATCTGCAAACCGTTAGATTTGGTACCTGCATAGGGAGAGGTGTGTTTGTTACTATCAATGAGTTACCAGCATTACCCATAAAATTGTATAATTGAGTGATGTAGTATAAATAATTCGAACAAGTTAAATGGAATGTTGGTCTTTCTAACTATATTGTTGATTGGTGTTTTGCCAGAAAAGATATGAACTAAGAATCTTAATCCTGATAACTACAGAGGCTTAGTAAATATATTCCTCCGGCCAAAATAGTGTCTTGAACTGTACAAGATGGAACCTTTCATACACATACACGGATGGATAGCTTCGTTTTCTTTGACTGCTTAGATCATTCAAGTGCAGGAGGAGGTGACTAGACAAGCTGATAGGATTGGGTCCAATTGAGAACAGAAGGAGAGTTTGGGAACAAGAAAGGGAAGGAGGAACAGGAAGAATACTAGATGAGAGAAAATTCGTGAGATTCTTATGTGAGTTCAACAACCCTTTCATTATACAATACAATAAAATTCAATCAATAGACTTCCTATAACAAAATTACTAACAACAATACTATGATACTACTTCTAACACTTACAGTACATATTCGTTTTCATTCAAGTACATATTCGTTTTCATTCAATATATGTGTCCATCTCTCTACCCTCTTGGGTCTTCCTTCTATCAAAGGTGCAGCCTCTCCTTGTTCTCCTTGGCCTAACTCCAATCCGACCCTTGCTTTTTTCATCTCTGTTGATTCTGTTTGGACTTTAATCTTCGCAAACTTGTGCTCAACTCAAACAGATCAACCCATAATTGGCTTAGGAAAATGGTGTCTCGATGCGAGGCTATGAACTTTGGTAAGCCATGTAATCTGTAGATCATTTGGGTGAAGAGTCCCACCTCCTTGTTATCGAGAACCTCTTAGGTAAAGAACCAAAATTGGTTTGTTTCGACTATCTGTGTACCACCACTAATATAGTGGAAAAGCCATGAGATATTGGCAATCCAACTATAAAATACATGGAGAGGCTTTCCTAAATACGTTCAAGTATATGCAGGGACTGTAATAACCTGGAGGGTAAGACTGGCAGATGTTCTATCTATTGTCTTTTGAATTCCACCACACTAGCTACGGTGGCATGGTTCTCTTGCAGCACCTGTTTAATCAAGGGTGAAGAAACAATTATAGCAAACTTCTGCTTAAATGCGAGATAGGACCCTTGGACATCTAAATAAGGAATTTTTCTTTGGTACCGCGGGAATCGATACTTCCCTTCTTTAAAAAAGGAAAAAAGGATGTAGTATTAGAAGGATGTATGATACTACAGGAGTACCAAAGATTTGTTCCTAAATATGAAATCCGCTACTCGATCTTTTTACCCAATTTATACACTATAGAATGTTGGAATCCCAATAATTTGGCAAGGTAGTATTGTTGTTATGGGGTCTGAACCACTTATCTAGCATTGCTTTTAGGCTTTTATGATACTTTCGAATTAAGAATTTCTTTCCCAACAAGTGTTGCCTCCATTTTTCAACAGCTTCAGTAATAGAGCACACAATTCCCTTAATAAGCAGAATCCTTCTACATCCATAATGTCATATTCTTGCTGAAATGGGAAATGGGATGCTCATTTTGGAGTAGAACAACACCAATGGAAGGAATCATTCTTGAGAAATTAGGCAGTGCTACAAAATCTTGTGAGAAGTTAGGTAGTCTTAAACAAGGGCCGAAGACTTGGTTGTTTTAAGATGCTCAAATGCTTGTTGAGCTACATTATTCTAATGGAAGGAATCATTCTTGAGAAAATCTGTAAGTGGATTTGGGGCATAATGACACACAAACCTCCTATAGTAGCTAGCTCGTGAGACCTAAAAATCCACGCAGTTTTTTGAAATTTTTAGGCATAGGTCACTCGAACACTACTTTCACCTTGTTACTATCCATATTGACTCTTGAGACTGAAGCTACGTGCCCCAAATACTCAACTTTATTTTGAACAAATGAACAATTACTCCTTTTGACATAGGAGGGTTTGCAGATTCAGCTCCAAATGTTCCAAGTGAAGCTCCATTGAGGGGTTGTATATGAGGATATCATCAAAGAAAATTGCAATGAATTTTCTAACGTATGGTTGTAGGATCAAGTTCATAGTGGATTAAAAGGTGGAGGGTGCATTAATTAATCCAAAGGATATTATTAGGAATTCGTAATGGTGTTAGTGTTCTATATGTAGTTTTATGTATATTCAAGGGATGGACTTCAATTTGGTGGTAGCCAGTCCTTAAATTTAGAAAAGAATTGAGAACCTCCTAATTCACCAGTAGTTCAACTACAATGGGAATTAAAAATTTATCCCGTATGGTAATTGCTATTAAAGGCTCTATAGCCAATACAAAACTAATAAAACAGGGAACAAAAAATGATTTACATAGTTTCATAATAGTAGAAATAGTTTATCATTTGTTTTTCATTTGAAACAAGCATGGTGATTCTTTGTCATATTGGTCATAATCTTAAAACTATTCATAATTAAATGACTCAAACTTAAAAATTATAAGCTCGTGCGTGAAGATGCATATTTAAAAAAACTATTTATGTGATTTCATGCTTAAATAAAATCTTAGAACAATTTAACGTGTTTGTTAAGAAAGTCCTAATGTGTGTTTTTATCCAAGTGTTAGGTTGGAAATTTTAATGAAGTAATTAACTTGTAAATATTTTCTTTGGGTGGAACGAAGATTTGCGTCAAACATTGGCGCGCAATGGCAGATGAACAAGCATCCGACTGACGGGGAACTTAATTGAAATATGATTATATTCTATCAAATATTTACAAAAATGTGTTAAGAGTAAAAGAGCATCATTTTAAGCAAAATCACGCATCAAAAAGAATCATTTATAACATAAGTAAATATATTGATCTACCCGATTAAGTAATCTAAGCGAAGAAGGTGAAGGTGGATAATCCCAAGCTAAAAGAAAAAACAACAGAGCAAAAGAATGAGAGGCATTCAACCATAAGAGTATTAGAACCAAGAAAAAGTTAAATCAATGAACTATCTAAATGATTTGAAGCAGAAGAATGAGAGGCATTGAACTAAGGTTTGAGCCTTGAGCAATCAAACAAAACAAAGAATTGCAATTGAGAAATAATCAAAATATGCAAGCTTACCTCTTCTTCAGAATATTATATTGCTATCTTCGACCTATAAACAAAGTTAAAGTTCTTTTATATCTTTTCCAGATTTTTTTTTTTCTTCCATAGAAAAAAATGCCAAAGCATAAAAAGAGGAATTAAGGTTCATACCACGTTCGCAATCTCTCAAGAACAAGAAGTATAGAAGTGGAAGCAAAAGCAACAATTTCAATAACGAAAGGGATCATTAAGCATATGCTGATCGGTTTCGGTAGATGTTCACTGTTACTTGTATCAATGATGGAACTGTTACTTTATAGCTGAAAAACCGTATTAAAAAATAATATATATTTTTAATATATAAAAATAAATTTACTTAATAAAAATTACTCTCACTCCATCATCACTAATAAGGATTTATAAAAAGTGATCTGGTTCAATTTTGTAGTTAAAATTATTTTTTTAAAGACCTAAATGATTTTCATTCTCTAGAATAAAAAATATGAATCAGGCCAAATTTAAATTTATTTATTTATTTACTTCAAAATAGAAAATAAGGTAAATTTTTTAAAAATTATTAAATTTACATAATGTAATCACCTTAGGACGAGTTGATCAAGACTACAATAAAATCAAGTTCCTACTCTTCACAGCGAATCCAGTTTTATTTCGTAGGCCATTCTTTAAAAGAATTTAATTGTTCTTAAATTAAATAAAATTAGGATGATTCTTTATTTCTATTTTCGATTGTCGCACCCAATGTTGTCAAAATCAAATTTTTACATATAAACGGAAAGAAATAGTAAAAACGTAAATCGTATAAATGATACGAAATATAAAATTTCTACTACTTAAGGTCAAGATACAACACAATCTAATATCACATATACATGTGTTTTTTCCATACCGTAAACTAATTAATCGTGTCTTAGATTCAATCGGATTCGATAATTCTTCTTTGAAATCTATAAAAAAGAAACAAACAAAGATTTCCCTTATATCGATTAGATTATATACAATCCAGCCCCCTCTAGGGTTATATATATTCTCATCATGAGAAGGGGTCGTTCGAGCGTATCTAAATAGATACTATGTTTACATATATATCCGCGCGCCATTCCATTCCATTTAGGATTAAAATCCAAACATCTCAGAAATAGATAGAGAGGTAGGAATTTATCGAACGAGCCACACTCCTTCGTATACGTCAGGAGTCCATTGATGAGAAGGGGCTGGGGAAAGCTTGAACCCAATTCACTACTCAAAAATCAACAAACAACTTCGTATTTAAAATATATAAGTCACCTAACTATATAAGACACAAGTCTAAAAACACAAAAAAATTTAATAACTCATAACCAAGTTCCACAATATCAAAAAAAATAAAATTTAACAACTCTTAAATAAAAATACAACGGCCTTGCATGAGGGTTGTTTTTTCAAATAACTAAAAGAAGATATGATTTGGGGGAAATGAAAATAGGATTTTTTATTTTATTTAAAAAAATAAAAATAAAATTAAGTAATGGGTTAAAAATTGACTTAGTTTGATTTTTTGATTTAAGTAAAAAAACATAAAAACTTGTGTTTATATTATTATTACGCTTTTATATGTAATTTTTATTAGTTTTTACTAAGGAAAATTTTTACTTATATTTTAATGTAAAAACATAAAATTTTATCTTTTTACACTAATTTTTGGCAACCATGGTTGCACGTGTCTGCAATTTCGGGTCATAACACGAAGCATAAGCGTATTTGACGATACCATGTTAGCAATGCCAATGTGGAATGGGGAAATACAGAAAATAGAACAAAATTGAATGCACGACATTGCCGGCTTGCCGCAACAAGTGTCTTCCAGCTGCACCTCTCTGTGCTAACTGGAATCGCCACATCATTATTCCGCTAAAAGTTAGACACAGAATGCTGCTAATAGTTTGAATGATTTCAAGGACTGTTCATCCAGTTCTAAACAAACTTGATGGAACCTGAAAAGAGAAAAGGATAAACGACCAAGGAGTTATAGAAAGGAAATGCAGAAGGAAACAGGAAATATGTACGATTAGTCTATTACTGTTCATCTATTACATGCACATCCATCAGCATCCTGCGAACTGTCAAACCGCAAAGGTATCAATCAAACTAAAATACGCTAAAACTTGAATTCACTCCCTCATTAGAGTTGACCAGTAAATCCTTACATGATGTTTTCAGCAACTATTCCCCTACTTTATAATGGCAGCCAGTGTCTATAATAATTTCTTTGAACAACCAACAAGTTGACAGAACTTAGTCCCCAACAAAGTGTAATATAAGTAAAAATACGTTGGGTGTAAGTTAAATTAAATTTTTTTGAAACAAATAGGTAATTCTACATTCATTCATAAATACTAAATCACAGGGAATGCATTGTGTTTTTGAATAGTCAAAGTTAAGAGACAATTAAGTTTATACCTCAACAAATTTATTATTCTTCAGAAGGAAACTAAGTTTTACAATAACAAACTCAAAAACCGGTAGCGTGGGATAACAAGAAGTGGATTTATTTTTTTAAGAGAAAATAGCATGCTGTTTAGTGACGTATATAACGTTTATGAAGAAGAAATGGATTACCTTCACATGATGAGGCATGATTTTGACATCAAATGGAACATGAAGCCATGCTTCAGGTGAATGGAGAAGAAAATTCTCTGGCTTACTAGTATAAACATCTGCATACTGATGAATGTTATAAGCAAAAGCAGATTCTTGACCTGTGCTAGTCAGGAATGTTGCTCCAAAAGATCTATTAAACATCATCTTCATCATGCTTCGTGCTTTTTGCCTCTCCTCATTAAGTTCTTCCAGAAGTGAATTCCAAGCTGCAGTTTTCAGACTATTTGCTGCAGTCGCATGCAACTTACCTAGTAGTTCCTGTATTATATGAAACTTTGCCTGCATCGTTCAACAAGATACAATGCATAAAATGTGACAGCTTTACGATTAAGATGAAGAAAGTAATTATACTGTTTAAAAATGAGAATTATGGACCATTCTATAATAACTATAAAACTGTTTGTTTAAACCTTTTAAAAAAAATCACTCCTCATTAAATCTCAACTAATGAGAGTGGGGTGAGGATACACAACCTTATCGTTGCATATTTGCGAATAAATTATTTTCCGAATTCGAACACATAACCTTTCAGTCATAAAAGAACAGTTGTATCATTGTTCCAGGCTTGCCCTCTCATTTGAACTTTTTACTGAACAATATTAGACATATGATGCAAATCCAAAGAATTACTCGTATGGTTGTACTAATAATTCCCATAACGTCCATAGGTTTGTAATTTAGCAAGACAAAACAATCTGGACTTTAAGTGGAAGGCAGGGTTATGTTATCATTTTGTTACAAGCAAGCTTACATAATAGAAAAAACTATATCCAGCACCACTTTGATTTTACTTCTTTTTCTTTTTAATTTCTAGTTCAAGCATTTCAACATGTGAGCTCATGTGCATTTGCAGTTTATCTGTCACCTTTTCAATTAATATCATGCATGTAGATCATTTAGTAAGGTATGAAATGGATTCATAATAATGAAGTTGGCTCAATTTTATAACAAATCGTTAACATATTATTACTATTCACGAATTAATTTAGGAGGAATATGAGAAAAACAAAAATTTGCTCGCTAAGAAAAGGCAACAACTAGATGCGTATTTGACTCTTAGGAAATAATATTTGTACTCTATTAATTGATAAATCTCTATATGCAAGATAAATAACACCAATTTCCATAAACTATTGTTCCCAAAATTATCATGAATCATTTTCTCGTCAGGCTCATAACACAATCATAAAGTAATTTTTAGTTGGCGAGTTTTCAATACAACCACTTAGGGAAAGTAACAGGAAACCATCTACCGTATATATGCTAAGAAAGTATGAAATTGCAAAGTAATAATGTCAACAATATTCGAAGGGTACCTGCTCAGAACGGTAGGTATCTTCATTTTGTATTTGTATTTCGCTCTACATTGTTAAAGAAACACTTCATATAAATATGTCTATGTTTCTGATGTTAACTATGCCAAAAGTTCTACATGCACCAGTACCTCAAGAAGAAAGATATAAATTCAAAAAAGCATTCTGCAAGCATAATTTAAAAAAAATAAAATTGCCAAACATAATTATATACATCTTTTAGCAACTGCATAACTAACAGGAACTATGAAGATTCATATTTATCTTTTAGCAACTGCATAACCAACAGGCAATTTGAAGATTCAACTACTACGGTTCTAAATTTGCCACCATCATCACACAGAGAGAGAGCTATAAGTTACTTTTCTTAAGGATAGCTTTGGTATCAATAACAGAAAAAAATTCTTTTCAATTGTAATTAGAACCAACTATCACATTCAGCATACCACTCCACAGTACCACATGACAGCAAAAGAAACCAGGAAAGGAAAGCAGCTTGGTCAGTTAATACATAATCGAATCACACACACTGATTGATTAGTAGGATATTATGCCAAAGTAAACGATGGTTGTTTATTAAAAAATGTTAGATATAAAGCCGATCACGAGACTTCACCTAATAGCTTAAACTTTTAAGAGAATAACCACAATGACAAAATAAAGTGAAGAAACTAAATTCATGAGAGATGGAAGGTACAATAACTTAATTAGAAGGAAATTCTAATTATTTAAATTAAATCACTTTTCAGTAAAAAGTGTGGATACTGCGTGTTTCGCAATGAAAATGCGATAGGCAAAATTATCCGGTAACTCAATAATTATTTAGCGATTATTATTCCATTAATTTTATGAGGTTAAAATGACAAGAAAAATGCATAGGTTAAATAGTCCATGTGTTGGATTAAGGTGAGTTAAGTATTATAGGAAAAAAAGGTCTTTACTTACTTAGGTGTTTTAACCTTAGTTAAAATAACTTAAAAACACAACCTTTCACCTCATTATTTCTTTTCTTCACTATGCACAACCCTAGGGGAGCAGCCATGTTCTCCTCCTTCCCTTGTTAGCGTGCTCCTCATCAAGACATTAAAGGAACCATCTTTCTTCCTCTCTTCCTTTAAGCTTCACCATAGAACTAAAGCCCAAACATCCACCAACCCTTCTACCTTCATCAAACACCGTGGAAACAATCTTGAAGCTAGGGTTTTTGAGAGAAAAACACCATCTTGAAGCATTTTCGTTTCTTTTTGTGAGCTTAAAATTGGGATCTTTCTATTGTTGAAGGCTTGGATCATCTTGTTCTTCTTGTGAGGCTTTAAAGGTGAAAAAGCTTAACCGTTTCTTTGTTTTTCATGATGGATTGTGTGATTTAAGTTAAAGATTGAGTCTTGAAGTTGTTTATGTGTTTAGAACGTGTTGATATGCTGATTAAATGACTAAACAAGTTTGAGAGATCATTGGAGGTCAATTATACCTTAAAAACCCAGTTTTCTGCATTCTGTTGAAGAAGTAATCGATTACTTTTCGAGTAGTAATCGATTACTTTCCTGGAAAAAAGTAGTAATCGATTACTCCTTGAGACAGCAGCAAACTAGTTTAGTAAAATTGCGATATCTCGAGATACAGAACTCCAAATTGAGTGTGGTTTGGACCTATGTGAAGCTAACACATGGGGCTACAACCCTGTAAAATTTCAGATCCATTGGATAAGTGGATTGATCGTAGTTTGAGTTTGAAGCCACTACCTTGCTCCTAAAAATCCAGTTTGCAACAGTCACTTTGCGAAAGACATAACCGAAGTTATACAACTCCAATTGAGACATATAATATGTCGTTAGAAAGCTTGAGATATTTAGTTTAACATAGTAAAATCTTAGAATTTTTGGTAAAGAGTTACAATATCAGTTTTAAAAATGGTAAACAAGGTTTGATGTCATATTCGCAAATAGAGTTAGTTTCTTTGGACTGTTCTTCAAGGAAATGATTTATAGAATCTATTGTGCTTTTGATGGAACCTAGAAAATTAATATTGAAATTGCTGAAATGATGGAGGCATATCTCCTTTTACATAAACTAATACAAGGATAAAATGCAAAAAGTAAACTCAGAAAACCCCAACTCCACCTTAAGGCCAATACACCTAGACTCAAGAGTTCTCTAGAGGTCCCCAAATTTCCCCTCTAAACCAATACTGAATTCATGCATACCTCACTACACACACATACTCCTTTTATCCTATACTTTAGGAATATTCTAGAATAGTTTCCATAACAAACTAAATAATTTACTAACTTTCACGCCCACTGCCTATCAATACTCCCCCTCCAAAACTCACCTTGTCCTCAAGGTGAAGGAAGAGGAGTGATAATGTGAGAAAACATCCACCAGGGTCCCACTGCTTGAAACATATTGACCAAGTAATTCTTGAAACCAAAAAACTATCACTTTCTTCCATTCCTGCAGTGCTAAAATAGTGGGTTGCTCACTCCTTGAAAACTGCATCTCTGCCACAGACACACTATCATTTGGGATAAACAAATCCTTCAAGTGGCTATTGACCTTAGGATAACCGTGGACACTAGCACCAACATCATCCACTAGCTTGACTATTATTTTAGTATTTGTGTATGTTGCAATTGTTGTTCCTTCAAACATCCAAGTGCACAGAGTTGAATCTTTCCATCCCTTCAAACTCTGGTTCGCGTTGCTCATTGTCCCCTGCTGTTCTCCTAGGTCCCTCATCGCCAGCCCTTGATTTGGCGAGTTTGGAGCGTCACACAAGAAGCATAAGTTGTGTCGTCGTCGCTCCGCCGTCTCCTTCGACGACAGTTGTTGGAAACGCGCGTCGCACCTATTGCCGCCATTGACATTTCCCACGGAAGCTACCTGCGTCGACTCTTGCCCTTCTATATCTTCAGCTGCCACTTGCACAGGTGTAAGGTTTGTTTCATTGGGCCGAATGTAAGGCCCAACAGCCCTATTATTCACACCTTGAGAATTATTAGAATCTGAGTCTTTGTTGTTCGGGCTTGTGGCTGTTGGCCCATTAGTGATTTCCATAATATGTATATTGGGCCTATTATTTTCAAACTTCACCCTACGACCCAAGTAAGTCATCATCTTCTCTGCTAGCTTTTCTTTTTCCTTGATCCCTTGCACAGACGTAACTTCCACCATTTGAGCTAAAGCCATCTTCTGATCTATAGAGACATAATCCAGATTAATCTAGCCATGGAGATGCAGCTTCTCCTATTCTCCATCTTCTTTCTCTTCTCCTCTATCATCAACTATTTCTTTTATTTTTTCTGCTTCTTCTTCGCTCATTTCTTCTTCGTCATTTTCTGCTGCATCTTTTTTTCTTTCCTTTTCTGCAACTTCATCTCCATCCACTTCTTGTTCTACATCTTCTGCATTTTTATTATTTTTCCCTTCCTTTTTCTCTGATCCTGCTACATCTTATTTGTCTCTTTCTTCTTCCTGAACTTGTTTGACTCTTGTTTCTTCTTTTGCTTCTTCTGCTGCTACTGCGTCCTTTTCTTTTTCTTCTTCTGCACCGTTGTCATCTTCTTCTGTTTTCTGATCTGCGCCTTCTTCGTCGTTCGCTTCTTCAGCCGGTGCTGCTTCTCGGATACTTTTAAAGCTCTCAGACTTCATCTTCTCTTATTCAAGCTTCTGTCTGTCCATGTTCTTCATTGCCTCCTCGAAGACCTTCAAGATTTTTTTCAAATTTTCCCTACACTCTAAATCACTAATTCCTCCTTTTTTTATAGATCTGGATCAAAAAGCACTCCTGGGATTGTAGTGCTTTGATACCAAATTGATGGAACCCAGAAAATTAATACTGTAGTTGCTGAAATAATGGAGGCATATCTCCTTTTACATACACTAATACAAGGATAAAATGAAAAAAATAAACCCAGAAAAACTCAACTCCCCCTTAAGGCCAACACACTTAGGCTCAAGAGTTCCCTAGAGGTCCTCCAATTTTCCCTCTAAACCAATACTGAATTCATGTATACCTTACTACACACACACTCTCCTTTTATCCAATATTTTAAGAATATTCTAAATAGTTTCCATAACGAACTAACTAATTCACTAACTTTCAGGCCCATGGCCTATCAGCTTTTAAGTGATATTTTAAGGTTATAGAATCTTAGGGAGTTGACTTAGTTCCTCCCACCTTGAGTTGGTGTCCCTACGTAAAGAATGACTACGTAAAAGACAATATTGAAATGAATGTCGTAAACTAGTATATTTGCTAATTGCCTTTACATCTTTGAAATAGGTTGTGATTTTGTGAGAGCCTATGGTTGTGGTCCTTTGGATACTAAGAGTACATTGGAGTATGTTGCTAATAAAGGTAAGCTTTCGGTTCTCAGGGTTAATTCCCTGTTTGTTCCACCAAACTCCATGGGGGGTTAGTTTGTGTATGGTATGTTTTTAGAAAATGGTTTATACGCACTAATATATATATGATATTGGAAAATGGTTTGTGGCATAATGTGTTGATATATATGTGGTGGTGATAGTGTATACCTACATGAGATGGTGATGCCTGAGTGTAGGGTATGAGAGGAATCCTTATACATTTGGTATATTGCAGACGTGCGTAATGCATACATTGTTCTCTGGCTAGTAGAATTTGATATTGCTCATATTATATACTCTATATATCCAGCATTATGCATTTGATTATTCTGTTGAGACTTATTATACCTTTAAGTGAACTCAGAGTGGAGGAATCCTTCGAGAACCCCTAGTTTACTGAGATTGTCATCTCGAGATTGTCATCTCACCCGGTTTGGGGAACATTTTTCAAGTGTTGAGATTCATGAGATGGGTGCATCTCGAGGCAAGAGGCCGATCTAGAGATATTGGCATGATACATTGCTTGCATTTGATATTTGTATCTTCATCCGAGACATAATTATGATTCATCATATTGTGTATGTTTATATTTGATGTGAACATAGAGGTTGTCTATACTTTTGTAAATAAACTCGTTTACTTTATTTAGATTATGTGTAAGCTTATGAGTTTGATTATTT